TGACATGAATAGAAATAAGTCCGAACCGAATGAAGACTTTCTTTGACTAAATATTTCAAACTTATCATTTCAATTCTCTTCACACTTTCCGCAGAATGGTTTGCAAGGTCAATAAATTCAGAACTAAGAGGTCATGCATGTAGCTCCATTTTTCACAGGGATTGATCAAAAAGGTGATCGAACACCTGTAACAAACAAACTAGGAATACTTGGAATTTGATATCGAAGACAGTTTTTCTGTCGGGCCATCTTGAAACTCTCATATTAATCTCTGGTCCAGCTACTTTCCATCAGAGAAGAGCTGATGAGATTCTTTGTCATCCTTGATATGTGCATTAATAAGAGTTTGTATCAGATCTATGAGAAATACAGAGAACACTCTCTTGGTATCCATTTCTTCATTGCCTACTTTGGGGTGTTCTGATATTTCGCTCAGATGTAAAGGTGGACAACAGATTCCAAGCTCTGTAAGAGCTGAATGTTATCAAAGCTGTAGACTTTTTTGAAGGTCAATGCATACAGTAATCAATCTCAAATATCCAATGGAATGTTACAAATTTGGATCAGTCAGCAAACACAAATTTGGATCTCACAAATTTGGATCCACAAATTTGGATCAGTCAGCAAACACAAATTTAGGAAAACACAAATTTAGATCAGTCAGCAAACACAAATTTGGATCACAAACACAAATTTGGATCATTTAGATCAGTCAGCAAACACAAATTTGGAGAGTCAGCAAACACAAATTTGGATCAGTCAGCAAACACAAATTTAGATCAGTCAGCAAACACAAATTTAGATCAGTCAGCAAACACAAATTTGGATCAGTCAGCAAACACAAATTTGGATCAGTCAGCAAACACAAATTTAGATCAGTCAGCAAACACAAATTTGGAGAGTCAGCAAACACGAACCTCTAAAAACATCAGAGTTTGGATCAAATACCACGGGGAAGTAAGCATCCTCTCTCGATCGGTCACGTATATGTGTGCTCCTTGTCTTGATGGATAACGCAAATATCTGTAAACAACTCAGTGTGAAATAATGGCTTTAAAACTTGAAATACACAAGGCAGGGAAGATATGCTCGTGATCTTATTTTGAATAAAAATCAAAGAATATGCGTGAGAAAAGTACATCTGTTCAAATAATTGTTATATCTAATTTTGAAAGGTGACTGGATGAACTTGCTGCATGATTTGGAGAATCTTCCTTGAAAGATTTATTTAATAACTGTGTAGTAGTACATGCATTGTATGAAATTTATTTTCTATTTCAGTTCCATCTTGGTTTCAGTGTGAACAATTTGTTGATCTACATCTGTCGACAATTTCGCAATTTGTTATTTAAAACCTGAATTCATGCAAGTTGGAAATGTTTGCATTCAAGCAAAAAATACCTACTTGTTGTATTCAATTTTTATATATTCCTATGTAGAACTTCATCCTTTCTTGTGGCTCAAACTTGGGACCTAAGGATTTGTGTTCTTCAGAAGTAGTTTTAAGTTTTCGCCTAGATATTCATACACTTTGTAGCCCCCTCTAACACCAGGTACCATGATTTTAACAAGCTTAAAAAGATAAATGATTGTTAAAAAGTTTTTATTGTTCAGTTATCTCTCCTTGAACAGAGGAAATGTCACTGGAGTAAAACAATCTTCACTCTAGGATGACACAATCGAATGCTTCAGTTTACTTGGACCAGAAATTTGACAAATTATAAAAAAAAATATATGAAAAATTAACGAAGACAAGCTCAAAGACAGTTAATGTACAAATTATCTTGCTTGAGTCTTAAGCACGGGTGAGCTTAAAAGTTATGTGCATATATACATGCAGAGTATTTTTTAATCCAGTAGCTACTATAGTATTACAGAAGTATGCCTATAATTGTGGCGTGTGGCAGCCATTTTGAAAAAATGGCTGCCAAAATTGTTTATGATTGACCAATGAAGTGGCCCAATATCCCGAAATGTTTGTAATATATTACTCTACCGATACACTTAATTTGACACTTTTATCACAAAATGCACAATTGATTGAAAATTTTCAGCTATCCCGCTTGACTATATATAGGTCTGCTAATAACAGGCCGCAATTGGTACCCATGGTAATTCCAATAGATTGTTGGAAGACCTTGTCTCCAAAACCCACATAGATAATATCAGAAACTCAAGCATCTTTTGGATGTTAAATTCAGAGTACTTATGTGTATAATCAGAATGTTTTTAACAAAATAATTTTGCAAATGGCCAATAAAAGGTGGGAAAATGTAATGCAAGACTTTTTGCACATTAACAGAACATCTATCGCACCCAGCCGTTCCCAAGCCTGATTTCCGTATTTCCGGAAATCCCCTTTCTTTAATACGAGATGTTTTTTTGCGAATAGACATTGAATCAGAGGTCTCTTTTGGTTTGTACTTATCACGAAGGAAGGGGAAAAAAAGTAGCAATTGTACTTGAAACTAGCAGTTGTTCTTGAAACTTTGCAACAGTAACTTTTATATATCTTAGTGTATTTCATTTGTCTGTCAAGTTATATACGGAAATCGGACCAAAACTGTAAGAGGTCTAGCATTTAAAAAGTATTTCAAGTAAATTTATAATTTTAGTAACCAAGACATCAACATTAATAAAAAACGGATAAACAGATTTGTGTACCTTTTAGAAGTCTACTTGTGTGTCAAGATACATGTATATTAAAATCAGATAAAAACTGTAGAAGAAGTTACTGTATCATTTTTACGGAAGCGTACTAGGGCCGCAGCAGTATTTTTTTTTTAAATTTGTTATAACAAATTATCAATTTGTTATAACAAATTGATAATTTGTTATAACAAATTGATAATTTGTCATAACAAATTGATAATTTGTTATAACAAATGAGTAATTTGCAACTGTCAAAGTTTTTGGCAAATAATAAGGCTTTAGTGGGACTATTGAGAGCTTTTCCAGCAGGCTCTTTTATTATTATTATTATTATTATTATTATTATTATAAAAATTTCATGCATACAAAAGAATTGAATGACACATTAGGAATTTAATATCAAATTTCACCAAGAGATACCCACTCAAGAATATTGTGGGTTTTATTTTTTTTAGTTCGTTTTCCGGTGAAGGTTGTTACGGAATGTATTTTTTTTCTTGATAATTTATCCGCAAATTCATTTTGGTCAATGGTGCCTCTGTTGCTCACAGCTTTATAGGAAACTATGGAGGTTCACCACGGGAGCAGATCCAGGATTTTGCATAGATAGAATTGGGTTTGGTTTAAAGATTTTATTCTTTACACATGAATTGGGTTGAACAGTAGACATAAATGCCTGTCGAAAAGCAGTATTCAAAGTAGATCATGTCACATGTAAAGAAAGAATCCAGAGAGAGAGAGGGGGGGAGGGGATTAAAATGAACAAAAGCAAAACACAAACTAGAGGTACTGTGAGCAATGAGCTCACTAAATGATACCCCCCGCCTCCCATATGCTTATAATGACAAAGTCCATGTTTTGCTGTGGCCGGGAAACCCAAAATATGCGTCGGATCAAAAAGTAAAATAGAAGGTGCACAATGGCAATATGTTATGTAATAAAGATTCTGTGAAAGTTTCATTAAATTCCACTTCGTGGTATAAGAGGAGTTGCGGATAAGAGATGGGTACTCCAAAGCGTAACAGACGGACGGACATATCGATTATAGTATACCCTCCCACTTTTCAAGCGGGGGGGGGGGGATATAATAAAACAATTTATATTGTAACATTCTGTTGCATGGCTCAAATAAGATAATATTTTTCCTAGCATACGAGTTGGGTGATATGACTTTGCAGAGTCGGAAGGGGGGGGGGGGGGCACGTATGGACAAACTTTCATTAAAGCTTCTAAGAACAAGCTATAAGGAACAGAATCTAGGACATTAATGCAATTCATCATGACATTGATGTTTGAAGTGAAAACTCTGAGCTGCTAGAAGAAACACATCTAGGTCAAAAGCTTTGCAAACTGTGTGCTTATTGTTTAACAAATTCAATATTTCAAAGATTTCTAATGTGATCTCGATTCCATAGTTCTGTGTACATGTCAATCATCCAAAAATAGTAATTTGTTATAACAAATCGATAATTTTTTATAACAAATTAATAAGTTGTTTAAACAAATTGATAATTTGTTATAACAAATTATTTATCTGTTATAACAAATTATTAATCTGTTATAACAAATTAGTTATCTGTTATAACAAACTATCAATTTGTTATAACAAATTATCAATTTGTTTAAACAGCTTATTAATTTGTTATAACAAACTATTAATTTGTTATAACAAATTATTATTTTGTTATAACAAATTATTAATTTGTCTAAACAAATTAATAATTTGTTAAAACAAATTAATAATTTGTTATAACAAATTATCACTTTGTTATAACAAATGATCAATTTGTTATAACAAATTATTAATTTGTTTAAACAAATTATTAATTTGTTATAACAAATTGATAATTTGTTATAACAAATTAAAAAAAAAAATACTGCTGCGGCCCTAATACGCTTCCGTACATTTAAATAATTTCACCGATATACAGTTAACTATCTTAGTATGATCTAATTGTGTGTCAAGTAATATTAAAATCATATAAAATTGTTGGAGGAGTAGCATGTTGAAGAATGTGAACAGACAGACAGACAAACGGGTGGACAATGGACACCTTGATATCGCATTTAAGCACTTCTGGTCTCTAACCAGTAGAGTCAATCAAATCAAAGAGGAGATAGAAAATTTTAAATTTTGTTCAGTTAGTAAGGTGTTTTTGAAGGTTTTAAAATTCCTGTTCTCAAAAACAAAATAAATGTAGCAGCTATCTTAGTGGATCTTTATAATTCCTAGAGAAATATCAAGTGTTAGTTTTATTATGTCTCAATCATGTCAATGGACGGATAAACTAAAACAATGGCAATACCCTAATGTTCATCATGCCATCATAATTTATATTAAACGACTATTAAAAAAACAAAAATATGTTTTATTAATGTTTGATCATTTATGGCATTTGCGTCCATTTCTGATGATTTTACAGGCCTGTGCTCGATCGGATTCGAATTTATATATAGTTATTTCAATCCTTTTGAAAGAAATCAACATACATACAATAATATATTTTTATAACTAATTAAGTTCCGAGTTAGTTCTCAGTTCAATTCAGTCTATTGTAAAGGGAAACATTCTCATTGGAACTACACAAACATGCATGTTTACCATCAGCAGAATTAGTCCGAAATATCCGACGTTTTCCGGGCTTTTTTTTTTACGATTTTAATATTTTATGTGCCAGGAAAACGTCAGAACCGGCGCCATTACGAAAACTGGAAATTTCGCCGTCTCAAACTAGAGTTCATTTTTAATACTTGTGAACCGAATTAAATTTATTAAAGCGCACTGCCTCTGGTATTCACCAATATTGTCGAAAAGAAAATATCTCTCCCTATTTCGTCATAGCACTTTAAGAGAATTTAAAATGCATGAAATGAAGACAAATCTCGAGAGTGTGTTAAAATCTTCTCAACAGATTGTATGTTTTACAAATGAATCCTAAAAACAATATTGGTAAGTACTTAAAGTTTTGTACTATTGATAATTAACTTGTGACTTTGAAATTTAATTCGGTTCGCAAGTATCTAAAATCAACTCCAGCTGGAGGCGACGATTTCCCAGTTTTCGTAATGGCGCCGGTTCTGACGTTTTCCTGGCATGTCAAATATCAAAATCGTAAAAAAAAAGATTTTGACAAAGCTAGTATATAAAAAAATTACTTTGTTCACTCACACAAACGATATTTCCCTAGGTCCAAATTAAAAATGATGCTTTTTTGAAATACTGCATCATCTATATTAGTATAAATTGAATTGGCATGTTCTTGACATTTGACAAAATCAACATTCGTAGTTGTCTTTTACTTTTCAGTATGCTCCAACTGTTCAAAAATGTTTTGCAAGCTTCAAAACCTAACTGTGAAATGTTAAGAGCAGTCGTCTTAAATTTCGACATGAACATTTGACTATGCAATCCCCCAAAACTGCAAAGGCTTTCTGTATTAAATTTGTCTATACTTCACCTCTACTCATGTTGTAAATATGACGTTTATAGGTTGCAAAGTACTCAGGAAGTGAGGTAAATACCTCAACGGACAGGTGGACAGACACATCCTTGTTCTCCTTAAAAAGTTTCATCTTCTTTTAATTTTGTTTAAGAAAAAAATTCTTACAAATGACATATATTTATCCATGATTTAAAATGATTTCTGCAACTTAATAACTAAAACATGAATTTAAAAGTGTTACTCTACTAAAATGAAGTTCAATATATATCTTAGAAATTTTGCCTAAATTTTTTTACTTTATGAAAACAAAAACTAAATTTGGAATTTACCACATTGCAAAATATCATATCACATCAATATAATATTTTTTACTGAAGAAATCAATATATATTGATTTTTTTGTTCAGCAGATTTAGTTCACTCCATTCAGTATCAAATTGTTCTGAAAAGAAACATGGACAAATATTTGGAGGTAATATTTAGAGCAGTTTTTGAAACTTACTTGAAAAAAAAAGAAAGTAGAAAAGAAAATTAATGTATTTACAATTGATACTAGTATTCAGATGTGAAATCAAAAACTAATATAACAACTTGTCTGTTCAAGTTCACTGATTTGTGCAGAATTAGTAAACTGAACACATTTGGTTAAAGTTAAACATTTAGGATAATAGAGTTTGTGTCAGTACTTCCACGCACAAGGCATTGAAAGTAAAAATAAAGAGAATTGTTGAAAGCATTTAAAAAAATGTTGTTTTCATAAACTTAACTAAAATTAAATTTTAAATAAAATTGGAAATTTAAATTGTAACTTAAAAAACAATGAAACTGCAGTGTCCATACCTAAATAAACTGGAATTTCAGAGATAAAATGCATCAGCATATATTTACAAACCACATAACCTTAGATCTTAAAACATGCATTGGTCAGTGTTTTAGAGGTATCACAAACACAGAAATGTCATCAAAAGAGCCAGGCTCTCCGTTTTTCTTCTTCCAACCGTTTCCATTGAAAGACCCCCGAGCTAATGTCACAAGTTCCTGAGCCACCGATAAATATCTGTAGTAAAAATAAAATTCGTCAAATTGTTTTATTTATAAAAAAAACACAACACACCATTTTTTTTTTCAAAAATCAGCAATATACACACACAAATTCCATTCCTTTATAGCTTGAGGATTTAATTTAAATGTCATATCTATTCAAAATCAATCACAAAATATACCAAATACACTAGTCCATACATCAAATTTTGTGTATGTTCTGTATCCTTCATCAGATTTATAAATAAATGAATTCTAGAAAATTAAATACTGGGTATACTTCTAATTTAGAATGATTATAACCATTCTATATAAATTGCACATTTTAAACAAATTGCGCCATATTAACAAGACCATTTGTAATGTTACTCCAGCAACATTAGATATCGTTAATGTGTATATAATGATATAAATTAAGATGCATCAGTAATTAACAAAAACATCAAAGGACCTTATTCTCCAGTTATTTTAAAAAAAAAACAAAAAAAAAAACGAAGTAACTGAAGTATTTGATTGTGATTGCTAGTATATCAGCTATCTTTTACAAATTTTTATTTCCTGTAAAAAATTTTAAGTAAAAATACAAGAGGGCCACGGGCCTTATAGGTCACCTGAGTATCATGAAACAATTTTCCAAAAATTGAATTTGGTTCGTGTTTTAAGCCAGATGCCATGAAATTCACAATTTTGAATGAGGCACCATTGCTTATCATAATTATACACTTAGAATGCTTCCTCTAGTTACTTAATACTCAGAGTTAGATCAGAGTAAGAAAAAGAAAATGTATTTTCACTTAATAACCAGTGTGCAAGATATTTCAAAATTTTGGAAATTTTATCATAAATTTTATTTCATAATAAATGGTTGATTAATACCACAGAGCAGATTTCAAAGCATTTATTTATCTTCAGACTATGTACTGTTAACCCCTATTATTGGCATAATACCTAGGAGCAATGGAAAAGATTTTTCAAAGAATTCATGTATTTTCCATATATATAATCATTAAAGCCCCACCCTAACACCAGAACCCCTGACCCAGGGGCCATGAAATTCACAGTTTGGAAGAGGCAATCTACCTCATCATAACTATTTACATGTACATAGTTCATTGGTTTAATACCCAGGAGCAGAGAAGAAGATTTTTGAAGAAACAATGTATTTTCACTACATTATCAATAAAGCCTCGCCCTAACATCACTTACCCCAACACAGGGGCCACAAAATTCACAATTTTGGAAGAAACACTCTTGCTCATCATAACTATATACCAGTACTTACTTAGTTTGTTTAATAGCCAGGTGCAAAGATTGATTGATTGATTGTATTCTGTTTAACGTCCCTCTCCAGAATATTTCACTGATATGGAGACGTCACCATTGCCGGTGAAGGGCTGCAAATTTAGGCCTATGCTCGGCACTCAGGGCCATTGAGCAGGGAGGGTTCTTTATCATGCCACACCTGCTGTGACACGGGGCCTCGGTTTATACGGTCTCATCCGATGGACCACCCCATTTAGTCGCCTTTTACGACAAGCAAGGGGGTACTGAGGACCTATTCTAACCCGGATCCCCACGGGATCCAGGTGCAAAGAAGAACATTTTTAAAGAATTCATGCATTTTCACTACATAATCAAAAGAGTTTCCTCCTTACACCAAAACCCCTGACCAGGGGCCATGAAATTCACAATTTTGGAAGAGGCATCTTTCCTCATCATAACTATGTACATATTTTATTGGTTTAATACCCAGGAGCAGAGAATAAGATTTTTGAAGAATTAATGCATTTTCACTATGTAATCAATAGAGCCCCGCCCTAACACCAGAACCCCTGATCTTAGGGCCATAAAATTCACAATTTTGGAGGATTCACTCTTGTTAATCATAACTATGTACTTATTTAGCTTGTTTAATACCAAGGAGTAGAGAAGAAGATTTTCAAAGAATTAATGTTTTTTTACTATACAATCAATAGAGCCCTGTCCTAACACCAGAACCCCTGACCCAGGGGCCATAAAAATTCAGAATTTTTAAAGAGGTACTCTTGGTCATCATAACTGTTCTTACTTGTATATTTAATACCAGGGGCAGAGAAGAAGATTTTCAAAAAAATAATGCACTTTTACTATGTGATCTTTTATAGCCGTGCCCTAACACCAGAACCCCTGACCCAGGGGCCATGAATTTCATAATTTTGGTAGAGGACTCAATGCTGATTACAATCATGTCAACAGTTTGACTGCTTGATGTCTAGGAGTAAAGAAGAAGATTTTTAAAAGATTGCATTAATTTTAGTGGTTTTGGCTCCACCCCTCAGGCCCCAGGGGGGCAGGGACCATGAAATTCAAAATTGTTGATCCCCTTTACCCATAGATGCTGTATACGAAATTTGGTTGAAATTGGTTCTGTGGTTCCAGAGAAGAAGCTAAAAATGTTCAAAAGTTCACGGACAACGAACGACTTACGATGTACGATGACAGACAAAAACGGATAGCAATAGGTCACCTGAGTTTACTGTCATTGTCATTGTCAGTACATTTTCTTTTAAAAGATCGCTGATACCATCCACTCACATACCTTTTTTGGTTGTTTATATTGTATAATTGAAGCACGTCATCTACAGACTTTCGGACCTCTTCGACTTTTAATAAATCCCAGAGACCATCACTTCCTATCACCAGCACGTCATTATCATCTAAATCTGCCGTCCTCAGATCATATATACACACCTATCAGTAAAAATTGTAAAACTTTCACAATTATCTAAAATACGTAAACAAGAAGTATATTCTAATATAAATTTGATAAAACTCATTCTCATTACAGTTATTATAATTGTATATGTTAATTTCATAAATATTTCAATATGTAGTAGAGAAATTAGATACTATATGAAAGTAACCAGAAGTCCCTGTTGAGACTGTAGCTCTACCAGTTTGTACTAGTAACAAGGGAAGAGAAAAGTAGCAGTTGGACTTGAAACTTTGCAAAAGTAACAAATTCAAAAATTATCCTTGATTTTGTCTCTTTTTGTGACATCTGGGATTAGACTGCAATAAGACTATAACTGTTGGAGTAGCCTTTTAAAAGAATTTTATGGAAATTAGAATTTTTAGTAATCCCTGCAACACCATTCATCAATATAAAACAGGTTTGTATAGCAATGCACATTACATGTATGGCAGAAATAAAAAATATGAATGACAAAAAATATACCTCAGGAACCGCTGACAAAAATGGCTTCATGTATATATTGGAATCATATAACCTCAGGTCATGGTCACCAAATCCTCTAGCAACCCCAATTGTCTGCATCAATCGAGACTAAAACAGAATGAAGGAAATTACAAGAGGCCCATGGGCCTTATTGGTCACCTGAGTATCATGTAACAACTTTCCAACAATTGAATTTGATTCCTGTTTTAAACCAGAGGGCACGAAATTCACAATTTTGAAAGAGGCACCATTGCTTATCATATCTACACTGCATTGCTTACTCTGGTTACTTAAAATCTAGAGGTAGATAAGAGTAACAAAGAGAAAATGCATTTTCACTTTTTGTGTATGTCAGGGCCCCTGGGTCAGGGCTTCTTGTGGTAGGGCGGGTCCACAATTGTGCACCCCATCCTACAAGAACCACTGATCCTGGGGCCACATCTTTCAAAATTTTGGAAATTTGATAAATTATATTTCATCATGTTGTTAATTAATACTGGTTAAATACCCTGGTGCAGAAAAGAAGAATTTTAAAGAATTTATGCATTTTCACTATATAATCAATAAAGCCCCACCCTATCACCAAATCCCCCAACCAAGGGGCCATGAAATTCCCAATTTTGGAAGAGGCAGCCTTATTCAACATAACTATGTACTTGGTTAGTTTATTTAAAACTCAGGAGCAAAGAAGAAGATTTTCAAAGAAATAATTCATTCTTTACTATATTACCTATATAGCCCCACCCTAGCACTACAACCCCTGATCCTTGGGCCATGAAATTCACAATTTTGGAAGAGGCAGCCTTATTCAACATAGCTATGCACTTGTTAAGTTTATTTAATGTCCTCGAACAGAGAAGGAGAATTTCAAAGAATTTTTGCATTTTCACTATTGTCTATATAATCTATATAGCCTTGCCCTAGCACTAGCACTAGATACCCTGACCCTGGGGCCATGAAATTCACAAAGAATTTCAAAGGCATTTTCACTATATAATCTATATAGCCCCGCCCTACCACTAATACCCCTGACCCATTTTCACTATATAATCTATATAGCCCCGCCCTACCACTAATACCCCTGACCCTGGGGTCATGAAATTCACAATTTTGGAAGAAGCAATCATTTTCAACCTAACTATGCACTTGGTTAGTTAATTTAATGCCCAGGAGCGGAAAAGAAGAAATTCAAAGAAATAATGCATTTTCACTATATAACCTATTTAGCCCAGCCCTAGCACTAGAACCCCTGACCCTGGGGCCATGAATTTCTCAATTTTGGTAGAGGACTAAATGCTGATTACAACGTTATACCAACAGTCTGACTGCTTGATGTCCAGGAGTAAAGAAGAAGATTTTAAAAGATTTCACTAATTTTAGTGGTTTTTGCCCCATCCCCCAGGCCCCAGGGGGGCAGGGATCATAAAATTGGTTCAGTGTTTTCAGAGAAGAAGCTGAAAGTGTTCAAATGTTACCGCACGACGCATGACGAACAACGGACGGAAACGGATAGCAATAGGTCACCTGAGTTTACTCAGGTGACCTAATAAAATCAGAATATGCCTTGTATAGGCTTATTATGAGCAGCAAAAGATTTTTATCATCCTTACATCTGCAGTCCCTGAAACATTCTACTTTCCTACTTAAACAGTGAACGAATGTTGAACGAACTGTCAACGCATGTTGAATGAATGGTGAACGAAGGGTGAGCGAACAGAAAAATGGGAAAGTAGAACGTTTCAGGGACTGTCGTTTTTGAATTGGTCAGCTGATACAAAGTTACACACAAGGAAAATGCTACACTTAGTTTGAAATACTTTTGTCATTTAATATTGTTTCAGTGTAAAATATTGATCCCTCATTGTGGTCCCCCTATGAGCCTGCAGTCATGATTTGAATATTGGAAAAGGGTGAAGCTAAACATTGATTGATTTCAAAAATCTATGAATTACACAAAACTGAGATGAGGGCAAAAACATGAACCCCCTGGCCCAAAGACCAAATTTTGGCTAACATTGGCCCTAAATTGTGAAAAAAATTACAAACAGATGGATGGACAATAGCTAGATGATCAAAACTGAAATGCTGACTTAATGTTCTGCTCAGGTGAGCTATTCAAATTCATCTTCTGGTAGGTATAATAAATAATAGTATACATGTATTTTGATAATTATGTAATGATTTTTTAAAAATGTTCAACATTCCAATTACAGTAAGTTTCATAATTTGGTATTCCAAAAATATTTTATTACTTACTAGTATATTACATTATTCAATGGTTATTAAATGGACTACAAGGCAAAAATTCAATTATTTGGTTACAAGATAAATTCACCTTATTTCCTGTAACGGTAATGAGGGGTACTTTCAGATCCTCTTGGTCAGCTATTTTGTAGCCCCTGTAAAAAAAAGAGATCAAAAAGATGGAAGCAAATTAAATGACTGTAATTCAAAAACATTAATTGAAAGTTTATGTTTTGTATAACATGCTTTCAGTTAATTAAGAATTTGTCTGATATTAATCTATATTCAGCTAATTCTTTGTGGAGACTGGCACCATTAGACATGTGAATTATTTAATGTTGTTGCAAATGCTTATTCAATAAATGTCCCTTTTAATAGAGAAGTTTTTTCTACGGGGTGGCAATTTGTAACCGGTTAATCAATTAATCGGTCTGAACGATGCTAGTCGGTTAGAGAATCCGTAATCCGTTAGTCAGAAAAAATAAAATGTATGTAAATTTGAGTGCAGTTTCCTTAAAATCCCTTCTGGTTTTTTTTTTTTTTTAGAAAAGAAAGTGCTGCATAGATTTTTATTTAGTGTTTTTATTACAAATCTTATATTTAAGAATATTTGGAGGTAATTATAGCTCTCCAGACTGAGATCGCAGGGTAATACTCACTACGTAAAGTGTTAATTACTGTTTTTATAACATCATGCCATTACCCAGATAATCCTGTGGTTTTTTTAATGATATTAAAAAAACTTTTAATTATAGTATGTCTATATTTTGCCATTATTTATTAAATTATATTATTATAAAGAACATTGTAAATTATAAATAAAGTGAGAGTTCAGACATAGACTAGTTCTGATTATATTGACAACACAGAATTAACTTCTTAAACATCTGCATTGGAAAAGTATCCCTGTCTGATTTCTCAAGCAACATTCTGCAGTGGGATTCAAACCCAGATGCATGGATCAACCTCAGACCTGCCAAGTGACCCGCATTCGGTGGGTCACACCCGCAAAATTGACCTCTCACCCCCCACTCATATTGACCCGCGGCGTGTCATTGTTTTCACCCGCAAAATCGATCATCCCAATTTTTTGACCCAATATTAATTAAGCATGTTTGTCTCGTCTCAACAAGAAAGATCTGAAAATTCATCCTAAAATTTCCGATTTGTGTTTTATAAATCAGGATATGAACATCTTGTTTATTCAATGCACACAGATTAGTATCTTTGTTTGCCGAGGTGTTAAAAAAACTGTTAATTAAGCACAGGAAATCACTTCACGCTTGATCGCAGACTGACACAGCTGTACAGGTAATATGCCTGGAGCATTTAGGGGATTATACGTAACCATTTGAAGGGGTATATGCATGGTGAACCACATAGATTTAGAGGTTAATTAAATATCATTTTATTAAAAACAGAAATTAATTAATTAAATACAATGATATGATAAACATTGGGATCGTTTTTTAAAAACGAAAGTAAAAAAACGAAACTACAAAGCATAACTGATAACAGCTGATTTTATCAGCTCTCGTATATTGAAATTATTGTTAAGAGTAGTGGTTAAAAGAAAATGATATTAATTAAGATAAAGCAAAAGAGTCTAAAGTGAAGTATATTGAATTTCTCCCCCCCCCCCTCCCAAAATGTAGTATTGTACGTTGTGTTTCTTTGTTAAATGGCTATGACAAGGGAATACCCACTTGTCACATCATGACTCTAACGATTTTAAGTTTTTGTTTGGGGTGTTAGGTATCCTTCATAATTTATTTTGTAGTATTTGATTCATTTAATTTTTTTTTGTGTGTGTTTTAAAATTAATAATAGGAAATTAGATGGCACATATTTCTTACCACCACCCCCTGCAGCAGCAATTTTTCAATATCAATCTTTCAATGTAATGTCTAATTACAATTTTCTGATTGTGTAATATGTTGAAAATTAATCATTGTAGAATCTAACAAATGTTTCCCAGAAACTTTTTAAATTTTTAAAACTTTGCAAAAATTCTATTGAACTAAAAGTATCTGAATAATCTTACTATCAATCTGAAAGTGTTCTTATACAAGCAATTTTAAGTAACCTGTCCTAAGTAAAAATTAAGTCTGCAATAAAATATAACATATACATGCATGTGTTTGACTGTTTGCATTGATGCCTAAAAATTAGGGAGCATTTTGTTACTCAAACCTCAACAAAAATGTCGCCGCGCGCTATGACCCAACATTTCAATTCTGAATGTTGGGTCATGACCCCCCACAGCATCAATTTTGGTTGGCAAGTCTGCAACCTCTTACACAATGAATCTAATCATCCTGATCACTGCGCCAACATGACTTTAAGTATTGGTTTTCCTGTCACTCTGTTTTTATAAAGAAAACTCACCATCCTGTGTTTTATAAGAAAACTCACCATCCTGACATGGTAGGGCCTCTATAGAGTATTGGTTTTCCTATGTCACTCCTAGTAATTCTCTTCAGATACTCATAACATGTGAACTCTTCATGCAAGAGGTCTGGCTTTGTCATACCCTGGGAACAAAACATTAACATGACTAAATAAAAGCAAAAAGCGACTGTTTTACCTGCTCTCCATTAATCAAAATGATAAAAAAAAAATTACTTAAAATGCGAAATGTCCTTTTTCTTTAACTCTGAGAAATGGTATCTCTGTCAATAGTAAACATGCGTTAATTTATTTCCAAGCATGACATGCAAAACACTCTTTGTAGATATAAATCCATGCTAGCAAGTAGCAACGGATAATGCATTTTGTGAATACTAATTGCCACCACCAAATTCACTTATTAGAGAAACTTACTTTGTGCAACTTTAGATGTCAATCTACTTTTGTATAACTTCAATAATAATTCAACAATAAGTTGGAAAATTTAATTCACCTGATGCAAGTATTAATTTCTTCAGAAATAAAGAAAATAATCATGACCAGACCAAAATGTTTTCAGATGTTTACAGAATAACTCAGTATACAGAGTATAACTTACTAGAGTAAGGATTCTTGTTCTCTCAGAGTAGGGAGTCATGTCCCTTGATAGTCTGACTGCTCTCCCCTTATTATACACCACTGCCCTAATATAAGTGCCAAAAAACGTTAGTAAACACACCAAACACGGGTTATGAAGGGTTGTGCATTAAGGAACACTTACCTGCAGTCTCCAGCGTTGGCTACAAAGATTTTTCCCAGGAAAAAAATGGCTACTATCACAGCACATCCTCCACGTATTGAATACGTTGACTTTTCTCTCTTGATCTGTTCATCCTGAGATGAAAATAAAATCTTTCAATTGATTTTCAGAAATTGAAATGTTCTCATGGTCTAAAGAAAATTATTTTAAATTGCTCAAAAACATTTACCTAAATTTGCAAATAAAATCTTTCAATTGATTAAACATCTTTTAAAAATCACAAATAGAAACATTAACCTATCTTAATTCTTTTGTTGTCCAATCAAATGTTATCATTATAAGGACAAGAGTACTTTCACTTTTTTCAATAAATTTTTGAATTGTTACATCAATTATGCCTCAGTCTAAGCTAGACCAAATGTTGAATGTTTGGAAATTGGTTGTCAAATATGTCAAAAAATATTATCTGGAGATTTTTCTCTCATATCATGAGTCCTTGCATTTAAACAAATGTCAGAGTTGAACTATGATTTCATTTATAACACTGAAATGCAGCGTAACAGTTCACCATTGCTGTAAAAGACTCTTCCAGAGCCCCAACAATCAGGCTGTCCAGAGACACATTTTCCAGCAAACCAAACTTTTCTGAGTCCCGGTTGTTTTTCTCCTTATGGTTCTCTGTGTCCAAGGAGAGCATCTTGACTTTAAGGACCTCTGTCCTGCTCTTGAGCCGATCAACAATGTGTTTGTGGAGAAGTTTGGAAGACCACAGGGCTGCATCAGGACCAGCGTGGCCATCAAACATCCCAAAGTAGGTCAAGGTTAATTTATTCTATTAAAAAACGGTGTGAAATAAATGTTTAACTTGTCATCTCCATAGAAGAAAAACTTTTTAAAAATCTATACATTTACAATCCAATACCCAAGATACTCTAATCAAACAACTAAAGCAAGTGCATAGATAAATGGTTTACATGTATAAGTATACAAATTTTTAAAAACATTTACTAAATTATAGTACATGCAAAATATATAATATATATTTACAGAATACGAAGCTTATCATTTTTAGGACTATTTATAGTAAACTTTTCACGTACAGATATCCTGCCGGCTGCTACGTCTGTCATTTGTATGGTTGTTGGGAAGTCCTCGCTGGACTCGGTCAGTTCGTTTGTGTCCAGGTCTATGAAATACTGTTTGGCCGTGGCCTGGTCTTCATTCATGTTACTCTTACCGCCATTGATACACCTGTACAGACAAAATCCAAAATTTAGCACTCCACCGTTATAATTTATGCATTTATACAAGAAAATTCATTGATCCTCAGAGAGCTAGACTGACTACTAGCTGTTAAATAAAAAAAATAATACTAGGGTATCAAAATAATTATTACATACTCTGCATATCCTGCATTGAAAGGGAGAACCATTGGTTCATTTGTCGTTACAATGGGTCGGTTTGAAAAGTCCTGGGAAACTTTTAACTTCTCGGCATTTAGTCGCAGGAACTCGGGGCGACTGTACTCAAATTTGAGTGGTTTATCGGTGTCATCTTTGGTCTCTGCGGACCAGACTTTGTCTACCGCTGTGTCTAGATGGGATTTTAGACGTCTCAGCATGTTGTTCATTTGCAGTTAAATGTAGAATCTGGAGAACTATGTACCAGAAATTAAAAATTAGATGCATAAATTATAGGGATAATGCAGAAAAAAAAAATTCCCAAATATCCCTGAAAAATAATGTGCGTTGCACAATTAAAATATTTTTTTAAAAACTGTCAATAAAATATTTGTAAAAATTGTATTAATCAATAAAATATTTAAAAAAATAGATTAATTTTTATTTCATCAATTATATCTCACAAAAAATACTTAGAATACAAAGACTCTAATGACAGTTTGCAGACCAATGTCAACACAAAATTGTAATGTTTTAAAACTGCTGCTTTGTGAGTTAGGGTGTAACCCTAACCCTTGTACATAGTGAGGGTAGCTGTGAAAAACAAATACAATTAAACAAGACATATAAAAAAAAATCTTATTATGGCAATACTCATATCTATAGACTTAATTTTGAAGTTCATTTTTTTCAGCTGTTGATTTTAACTTAAATAAATAATGTTTTTTTTTAATATTTACATCACTTTTAATTGTATTCAATAATTAACAAGTCCCCTTTAATGAACAAAATTAATAGTCATTGACCAGCTCACATAGAAATAGTTATTCATTTGTTTCATTTAGTTCCTTATCAATTTAAGAGATTGTATGGAAATGATCAATTTATACAGATCATGATAGATTGGGGTTGTTAATGATTTAAAGAGTTTCCTGAAAGTACTTAAAAATCCAATAGTGAAGTCAGGAAGAAATTTTAATTCTGATACAAAAGTTTAAGTAGCCTAGCTTACATTGAGAATAGTACCTTAATATTCATAATTATTAATTACATCAAAAATTCATTGGTCACTTAATTCTACAAAGCTTTGAAGATTCTGAATTGTTAAATGCACATATTTGATAGGTAAAAGAATTTAAATTTTAAAAAAATTTCAATATAAAGTTTGGATATACACAAAGAGTTTAAGGAGTTTATAGTTAAGATTAAAGCTGCATGAGGCACAATGTGTGGGTAACGGCAAGGAGTTAGTCCCCTCCCCCCCACCTCTTGATATGATCTGAGGAGGGGTGATCGGGGTTGGTTGCAGGAAGCATGTTTTAGTACTTAAGGGCATCTACAATTGTCGTTTTATGAGTGAAAACAATATTGTAACATATATTCAGTTTACATTATAATATAAAGACCATTTAATGAAGCTGAGAACTCTAAACATATCCTTTCAGTCTGCTAAGAAGTTATGGAATCTTCCTAGTAACTGAATAACCCAAATATAAACAGTACATTTAATTTCCTTTAATAAGAAATATTTCCAGTAATTAATTACATTTCCTGCAGTAGTCATGGACTCCTGTTGCTGTTTTTGAAATTATCCTGTAGATCAAAACTTGAATTTTGACTTTAAAAAATTTCCCCACCATAAGAATATAGTTTTTTCATAAAATATAAAGAAAAGTTGTAAACATTTGGATAGCCAGGATGGCCATACAAGTGTGGATTACTAAGAATGTTTTTTTTAGGCCCTCGCAACTCTAAAATATAATGATAAACTTTACTCCTCCTTTTTTTTCAACCAAATTTTTATCCCTGAGATACTGATGTGTAGACTACTGCCTTCTTGCCTATATGAAATAGACTATATGCTACCATCATACTCAGTCTGATTAAAAATCAAACCTTCACTACATGTAGCTTCTTTTTATTTTGTTTGTCATGCGACAAACAAAATAAAAAGGAGCTAGTGAAGGTTTGAGTTTAATCAGTCTGCGTCATACTCGAATGTCATGAGGTTAAAAATATTGGTACTCAGAGAAAAAATCCTGATGATATTTGAAACATGATAGCCCTGCATTTGTGGCACCAACCACTCAAAGTTTGTACGCAAATCAAGTCTTTACAAATTTTGGCTAAACACAAAGATCAAGGTCAGAAGTTAAAATATAAATCTTACAATTTTAAAGACATACAATAAACACCGTTTGTCTCTGTATTAAATAAAGCAGAGATAATTCGGATTCCCATCCTTGTTTCCGATAACTGGTATCTTTCATATATCTTAATGACAGTTAACGTTCCACTTACAGTTTTCTTTAGCTACATCTTCTGATAAACGTTGACCATGTCCATGCATCAATTTCATTTGCTCATTTTATTTAATCTTGCAGACATCTGGGGTGGGCGTGTTCACAGTTCAGTGACTTTGTTTTGAGCGGAAGTGAGGGGCTGCATAATATCTAAAACTTGTATATTCGCAATTGAGTTTTATTTGATAAAACGAATCGTGTTGCGCAAAACATTTTGAATGATAGAAAAGAAGAAAGCACACTAAAATTGACATCACTGTGGTCAAAATATTATAACAGATATTCTGAATCAGTTTCGATTTGATTGATTGATTGTATACTGATCGATTGTATATTGTTTAATGTCCCTCTCGAGAATTTTTCTCATATGGAGACGTCACCGTATGCCGGTGAAGGGCTTCAAATTTTGACCTTTATTCGGCACTCAGGGCCATTGAGCATTGAGGGATCTTTATCATGCCAACGCCTACCGCTGACACGGGGCCTCGGTTTTTAAGGTTTCATCCGAAGGACTCGCAACTTTCACTTCAAAGTGCCGAGAGCATGGCGAAGGAACAGTTGCTACCCATTTTAGTTTCGATTTGAAAGATATAAATTAAGTTAACGAATAATTTAAAAACGGACCATATCCTAAATTTATAAAGACATATGCAGCAGTGAAATCCTTGTGACAAGACTTTTCTTTAGAAACCAACAACTTTGACCCTTTGACCTTGACCTAGGAGTATGACCTACTTTTAAAAAACTAACTTTATTGCAATTTGGGGGCAACATATATCTCTTTTTTTTGTTTCTGAGTATTTTATGCAAATGTTTGTTGTGTTTTTTTTTTTCTTCGCTTCTTTTATTGTTTATACCTTACCTATAGGCTAATTTAAATTACCCGCGATCATAAGATTTGTCATTGAAACATAAATCTTATAATAAGGAATTCTAAACATAACAGTGATATTTCTGATTCAGAAAGTGATATTTCTTTCAGAAGAAAGGTTTTTAAGGACAGAAATTCGAAGAGTATTCAATATTTTGAAAAGAACTTTTATTAGATTTGAATTAGATTTCATCACATTTTGAATTAAACATGTCGATGGGGACATGAATTATATATTTATATTTATAATAGAACTGTAATATGTCTTTATGATCTGAAAACAGAAATCTGTTGTCCCCAAACCTGTAACTGACTAATATTTATGAGAGTTTATTCTGTGAGTTCTTCACTCAAAACTAACCGGCAGTGTCTAAGTGTCTAAGATCCACCGAAACAAAGTTGGTAAGCGTTTTTAATGTATTTTATTTATGTCATTATGACCCTAAAAGATTATAAAACATATGTTCCAATATGCCTTCTTTTTTCTTCATTAGTTCACCGGATAGAAATGGAGAAAAAAAATCAAACAAATAAACCATGATATGAGTGAAAATAAACATTAACGATTAATTTTAATTCCATTCTTTTTAAATGAAATCAAGTCAATATATTTTTTTTACATATTAATATAAATTTTATCTTTATATAGAAACATAACATTATAAGTAAAAAGTATAGATGTTATAATGTAACTCAGTTCCTTTGAACAATTCTATTTAATATGCTGACATGTCTTCAGTTCGGAAATATTATAGTCATTCTCACCGAATCACGAACATTTACATTACTAATTATGCGTACACATCTTATTACGCCATATTACAGTGTAACACATTCGTCATATAAAACATTCGTAATTGCCTATCGGCTATCGATAAATATATAAACTATCAATAATCAACAAAAAATTTGAACTGTAACATGCATGAATGATTCATATGTATACCTATATCTTTTAAAATTGCTCTACGCGAATGCAATGGTTAAAAAATGCATGTATAATGCCATACATTTGAAAGTCTAAACCATGCGAGACATTTTCTATGGATTAACTATCACTCTTGTCTTACATAATAAGAAATGACTCCTCATGTAGGCGGGGTTTAAACCATATAAGATGAAATTTCTATCAATTAAGGTAGAATTATATTTTTCATTTTAGGTTAACGATGTACAGTTTTCTTCAACTTCTGACTGTTGTAGTTCTGGTGTCATGTGCTTTTGGGCAAAGTGGAAATTTTCAAAACAGACAAGGACAAACTGTTTCTCAGAACTCTGGACAGTCTCATCCATGGGAACCAAGATATAAACCAAGCGTAGACTACGCATCGCACCTCCTGGAAAACCATTATAATCAACTCGCACAAAATCAACAACAAGGCATTCCGCCCTATCAGTCGGACTATGATGATCAGTATAGGCCTGGATTTTCCAATCAACACCACATAGGACCCGGATTTACCGATCAACGTCTACAACATCACCAGCAGGTTGCAATAATTCCACCACCTATCAACACGCATGCGCTTTTCAATGGTCCTATTGGAGGATTTGGATTCGGAGGATCCGGTTTTGATGCACCAGGAATCGGATTTGGCGTTCATCACACTCCATTCTATAGACCAAATGTTGTTTCCCCAATGTTCGTTAATTATGAGCGACCAACTTTCATGGATAAGGTTGGGCAATTCGTGAAAAGCGATGCCGGGAAAGCCATTGGAGCAAGTAAGAATTCTAAAGTTAAAATAAAAATGCACATATTATAGATACATGAATATAATTATGTATAATTAGAATAATTTTAAAATTAAATTTTCTTTCTGGAATCTTAAAAAAAATAATTAAAGAGATATTTTTGCCTAGGCAATTTTGAACATATGTCAACAATTTCTTATCTGTAACAAGTAGCCCTGGCTGCAACAAAAGTGATTTGTGACTTTGCACACTGTATCATCGTTTATACCTTTTTTGTAGTGGCAGTAGGAACTCTTATAGCCAAAGCTGTTAACAACTAACAAAGTTAATGTAAGTAGAATTTCAGCTCACTTCTTATTCCGTTGAGAGAAAGTTACACTTTAACAAATATTTTTATGTAAAGTCTTTTATCATTTTATTTTATTTTATTTTTTTGTTTGTTTGACGTTTTTACAATTGTTTTCAATAAATTATGAATGAAATGACATATTGTATTCTACAATCAAATTTTAACTGTGAAATATAGGTGAGAAAATTAAACTCATAACATTAAGTCCATTTAAACAATATAAACTGTTAGCAATGCAACTGTACCTTCTGGGGTTTATTAAAGCGAAATGGGAACTTGTGTAAACATATAATTATGCCTACTTTTTTGTTTGCAAAATTTCGTTTTTACAATTGTTTTCAATAAATGATTAAGAAAATAACAAATAGTATTTTATTTTGATTTTCCTGATAAACGTACCCAGTGCTAATGGAGAGAGTTTGATGTGTTTTTTCCCATTTCACCTTGAAATTTAAATCATAAAAATAAAATATTAAAACAATGAAAAAACAGAATTAAATGTGTATTATAATTTTGAAAAATATAGTCTTATTTCTTGTTTAATTTAAAAGTTCTAAATATCCTAAGACCTTATTTGCGGAAGGGGGAGGGGAGTATCTCTTTAAATTAAGAAGAGATATCCATTATAATATATAACTTTAAAAAATTATTCCGACAGCCTAGAGACATATTTCTTAAACTTAGAGAGGTATCCTTTGACCTAAAGAGACAAAAATCGCTTTATTTTAAGCAACTGATACATTGTATGTTTCGAGAAAAAAATAAAAAGACGAGGAAAGGGAATTTGAGAAAAACCGACTAATGACTTGCACTGTGTAAGGGACCTTTCCGACGTGTAACTGCTTTATAGTAATGTGAATTAATGCGAGGAAGTGAAGAAACAGAAGATAATAATGGAAACAGAGTATTTAAACCGATCAACTATGTTTAAACATCGACTAAAATACCGAGTTCCACATAAACTATTTCTTTTTGTGGGTACAAGAGATTTTTGTCGTATTCTTCCTCCAAAGAACGTATGCAATTGAATCTAGCGATAAGTATTTTGAATATACAAGGACCTGCATGGATAAATGACGTTTGACATTTGGAAGATATAAGAGTAGAAAAATAATTACGGGGTATTATAAGAAAATTTTCGTGAAATGGGAGTATAAAATAAAATATTTGTTTGCTATATAGATTTCCCTCTGGACTTCCTGTATTCTGTATCTAGTATCATTTCTGCAAGTTTATCGTAATAGGCGAGGAAGGAAGTGAATGCGAACACAAATATACAAAAATACCATTTTCAAGAGCTAGATTTAGAAATGCAGACAAGTACTTTAGAGGGAAGGCAATATTTCTGCAGCGAATAAACTCGAAACACTGAATAGAATGGGTAAGTATTTTAAATCCATTCATTGATGAGATCAACTTTGCTTTCAAAATTTGAGATTTTTACATACCTCCGAAATGATCCCTATCTCTGGTTACCAAGTTTTACTATTATATACTAGTATACTGTATAAGCACAAATATTAATTTCGTTTATCTAGTTGTTGACAATAAATAATGAAATTAAATCTCACACGAAATTTTATATGACCATATATTGAATCGGGTATTTTTGAAAACAACGAAATAAAATACCCAACCAACGAAATTTTATCCCAACGAAAATCTGTGCTTCTACAGTATTTCATCATTTGGTTCAATGCAGATTTTGACAGACTGGCATAAAACAAATTTCTGATATTCTTTGATCGAAACTCTACTTATTTGTTGAGAGAAAAATGCACATCTCAGATATTCTATACTTATCTATATCTCCAAAAAATAAATAGAAAGACGGGATTGATGTCTTTAAAGATACTTAAATGCTAGGCAATTGCATGTATCTACATAAGTGTATATGTTCTACTTTCCGATTTTTTCTATGTTTAAATCTCTATATAACAAAACAAGAGCTTACCTGATGGTGGTAGGGAGGGGTAACCTTAATTTTATAAAATTCATTTCTTTCCACTTTTTTCGTATTATTTGTTAACTAAATAATTCACTTTTAAAAAGTTGACACTAAATTTGCCTTCTCTCTTATGATTCTGGAGAATTCTTTGAAGCAAAATATTCCCAGTTCATGTTTTCTTTGAAAAAACATTTTCTTTTATTTGTTTTCATTAATTTGTTTCTACAGGTAAAAATGCAATAACTAAGTTTTAATAAAAAAGTAAAGGTAAATCTTATTTAATACATCAATATGGTATAGATATGTAAAAATGGACAAGCATTTTTGATATTACCAAAAACAAGTTGTAGTTTCATTTGATATAACCTTAAAAATGTCAATCAACCAAGTTTACACGAACATAAATGTAGTAATGCTTATTTGGTTAGAAGAATAAGAAGAATATGCTATTTTGTTGGAAACATTTCAGCTTCAAAATACTGGCTGTGCAATGGTTGTACACACTCCAACGAACATAGCCGCAGGAAATGTGTGCAATGCGGAAATAAGAACGGACCAAGAGAAGATAGCGGTAAAACTATTACACGTATATTATTATAAGGACATGTTTGCCAGATGATTTAACGATTTCAGTGTCAAATTTAGATATTTATCTTATGTGTTGTAACTTTGGAATTAACTAAGGGGGTATATCATGTTGTAAATTTGGTATTCACCTCCCTCTAGTAAATTCAAAATTTACAACATGATGGAGATACAGAACAGTATTCAAACCAGAAGTCCATTAAGCAATTCATTTTGAAGCAGAGCAAACACGGACCTCCAAAACATCAGAGGTGGGATCATGTACCATGGAGGAGTAAGCATCCCCTGCCACCGGTCACATCCGCTGTGTGCTTCTTGTCATGATCGGAAAATAACGGGAAAAGTCGTCAGTCAGCATTTGGCTTAATGATTAATTGTTTTTGCTGACAAGGTCATTGTATCGACCAAAAGCACTACTTACGAAAGGAGACTATTTCTTAATCTTTTGAAACAAATATCATACTAAGTGTTGAGAAATCTGGAATCTAGGTCCGTTTAACAGTGTTTTTATTTGTTTTCTTCGAGAATGACAGTGGAGGGCTGCAAATTCTAAGACATACGATGGCTGTTCGATTTGTAATGTATGTTATACTTTCCGCAATAACACTTTGCATGATTTTGTGGATGATATATTTTTTTTGAATAGCACTATTCAATACCTTTCAGCTCCACGTTATATAAAAGTTCGCACGTAACTCTGTCATTCAGTAGTGCAGATTTTTACAGAATTCGGAAAGGTATATGGTTCTGACTTCTGATAAGGTATTTTATGAGACATGAAGGTGGAGATAGAAATTTCCGACAAATCTGTAAAAGAGTCAGCGAAATTTGTCTGAGCAGTGACTGAAAAAGGCAAGGCTAATGTCTCAAAAGTCAGGGGGAACGAAGTAATGGTAGATATATACGACACGATCTCTAACATTGCCAAAGATGGTGTCATATCGTATCGGAGAAGCATTTCATTTTGAAGCTTTTTTAAGTAAGAAAGGTTTCTGCCAGATTGATACGGTATATATTAACATATAACCAAAAAGGGCATTTATATTTACTGCGGACAAAACATGGTTTTCACTTGCCTGAAACACTGAGAAATATGGCTATCAAATGAAAGTAAAACGTCTGCAGTTGTCGAAAGAGCCATTTAAACACAAAGAAGGAATTCCCCATGAGGTCACCGGCGATTCTTAAATTATAACGCATTGCATTCATACTTTCATCATATTCTTTCGTCTCCTCTAATATAAAATTTGTTAATTACACATATTGAAATAATTCTTATTAAATATTTTATTTTATTAATATTTTAAACTATATATGACAGTAGAAGATACGACAAACAGTGTCAAATCGTCATCCACAACTGAATTTAAATGTCACATCAAGAAATGGATGAATGAAATTCTGCCTCGGGCCCTAATTCTATACTTGCCTCCCCTTGTATACATGCAAGAATTTGATGTACATGGGGAATTCCCTCTAGGGAAAGGCTTAATTTTCATTGGTACCTGTAAGGATCAAGCTTGGCCCTCAGGTACCACTGAGGTAACCCCTGAAACCTTCCCAATACTAAGGACAGATTACTGGTATCTTGATTTTGAAGCCTTGTATAAAAAAAACTCCTTAGTCCTGGAAATTCCCAAGTTCCACCACCCTCTTACTCGTTAATATGATTATGAAAAAAATGGTTTTACGTAAATAGCGGACACGAACCAACACATGACACAAGCACTTATCTAAATAAAACAAGGAAACTTTTTTCCTCAAAAATCACGATTAGGATAAAGACCTTTGGAACTCCGATTTAACTTCTCCCCGAAACACTGTATATCAGACAGATTTGACTTTATTTATGAGTACGTACGATTTAAATTCATTAATTTTGTGTTTTAATTTGAATTTATGTATACATTAATTGAAGTAGAATTACATCTTGCAAATTCATGAAGAAAAAAATCATAGTTACAATAATTGAACCATTAATTTTTTATACTGTAATAAATCTAAAAAAAATTTCAACTATATATATGATGTAGATATTTTATTTTCTTTAGTTTTTACCGACTAATATTCTACAACAAATTGAAATATTACTTCTGTATATGCAAAATTTGATATATTATTTTCAAAACTAAGTACAAGGTGTGAAATTCGCGGAAAGAATTGTGGCTTTAGATATGTTCGATTGTAAAGTTTCGTAGTAAATTAAAAAATATATACTGTTCACAGGGTTATTTTCGCCCTGTGTTATTTTAGCCATTCAACACTTGCAAACAATTTTGCCACATTTTAAATTCTTTTTGAATTCGCCTCTTTTTTAAAAAACATGTCTCTTACATTCTGAAAATGAACTTAAAAACTGATTTCCAATCTTGGAAACAGTGTTTGTCATCTGTACAGTATATGCGAAATAGTTTTAACATTAATAACATTGCGCTGTCAATGTACAATGTAGAAATAAAAGCAATCTAGACAATGTAAACGCGATATCGTTTCGACATTGTTTACATTGCGATGTGGACGTTGTCGTCATGTAGAAACAATGACAATGTAGACGATGTAAACACGATATCGTTTCAACATTGTTAACATTGCGATGTCGACGTTGACGATGTTGTTATGTAGAAACAACAACAATGTAGACGATGTATTCACGTTATCGTATCAACATTGTTTACATTGCGATGTCGACAATATCAAATTGATTATGGGAACTGGACATGAATGAATTCGCTCATATGTGAGTAGGGCGAAAGGAGCGAAAATACAACGGGGATGGAGGCGAAAATTTTCCCTGAATACAGTATATAAATTTACTACAGTAAACCTCCGCATTTTTAAAGTTCACGTGGGTTTTTTGTACAAATTAAAGTCACATTTGTTTTGTAATGAAGATTTTTATTATCTAACTTCAGTATGACAAAGTAACCCTGAAATTATTTTGATATATCATGTTAAGGGTACGTGCCCTTCTTAATCACTATCTTAAGTTTCAAAGTCGATGTTTTGAAGGGGAGTTTATTAATAAATGTTACGTTGTTATAAGTTTATGATTCTACGATTGGTATTTACAAATTTAATTATCGAGTTTTGTTGGATACTATTTAGTTGACATTTTTAAATTGAGTTCTTAAAGATGAGTAATTTGTAAATCGTAGCACCAAAAAGGTACAACGCTGCAGATAGATATTATGCCAATTAAAAGGTAGGGTAATGAAATAGTGTTTATCTTAAAATGGTAAATTGTTACTATTAAAAGGATTTTTATTTACATATACAGTTGGAAATTTTGTTTTTGTTTTTGTTTTTGAAGTGGAACAGATCTCTTAAATCTATACGTAATGCTATATTTCAGAAAGTAACGCTGAAGAGACAAACTTTTTAATTTTTAACGAGGAATGAGAAAATACTCTTGCGCTAAGAAGTTATGTAAATATATAGAAAATACAATTAATCAAAGTACATGTAGCTGTTTCAAGTCTGTGACTAGGTAATGTAAAACTAGCACCACTAAATGATATACCTTCCCCGCTTCCCATATGGTTATTATGGCAAAGCCCATAGTTTGCTCTGGGAGACCCGAAATAAGTGACACATCAAAGAGTTAAATAGGAGGAGCATAATGGCAGTATGTTATAGAGAATCATTAAATTTCATTGTGTGGTATATATAAGAAGATTTGCGGATAGGAGATTGGTACCTTTCAACTGCAATGTCTATGTTTTGCCATAGAAAACCTAAAATATGCGTCCGAAAAAAAGTAAAAAAGGAGGTGCGCAATTGCACTATGTAACGAAGATTCTGTAAAAGTCTGATATTAAATTTAATTCAGTGGTGTTAAAGGGGTATGATAGGAGTTGTGGAGAGTTAGGTACCCCAAAGCATTAAAGAAGGAAGGACGGCCGTACTGGCAGACGGATGGACATCCCGATCACTATACATGTATATATATATAATATATATATATATATATATATATATATATATATATATATATATATATATATATATATATATATATATATATATATATATAATAGAAGTTACAAGAAAGAGTATAATTATGAAAATAAGATAACCAATCACTTACAAAATGTATTTTGTCCGTTCGTTGGTTGTAAACACAATATCGTCTTGTGCCATTTTGACTTCAATTTGTGCGAAAAACCAATGCACGTGAGTTAAAAAGTGCGCGAAGCTGTAATTCATTGTTTATTTCAGTAACTATTTTTTAAATTTAGTAATTTTTAAAAAGTAATAATCATGGCTTCATTGTTTGGTGACCTTAAACGTGACATTAAATTATATTATTTACCTTAATTTTAATCACGATTAAATTGTCAACCCATCGCTGATCAACTGCATGTTCTCCAGCATCAGATTAAATGATTTTCATCTAGATTAGCTTGGCATTGAGGTGTTAATTGGGTGTTTACATAGATGACACTTCATCTGTGGGTAGTCCGTGTGTTGATATATTAATTAATTGATTATTATTGGTAAATTATAAACTGTTTTTAAATTCACAACTTATTTTGACTTGAAAACGAGACGATAATTTTTAGAAAATAATTCATAGTCGAATCAATAACTTCCCATAGGCTATGAACTTTCATTAGAGTCTACATAATCCCAGTATGGCAAATATTGCACAAGAAATTCCTTTCTCAAGGACTGAATACCGTTTAAGAATCAAAGTACTCAGAAGTACAGAGAGCCGGGCTCATTTACAGAGTAGAATGGATTTCTTACATGAATCACGTTTATATTCTGATGAAAAATTTATTTTAAAACTATCAATATAAATGATAAGACACTGACAGTGAGTTTTTCAATCCTAATACCACGGACCGATTTTGTCAGAATCAGAATTAATCTGGTACCGCAGCTGAATGTAAACAAACAAACAGGCCAGTCTGGTTCCCTCTCCTACTTTACCTCGTATGTGTAGAGAACTACGGTAACACTGATTATCAAAAGTCCTTACGCTAATGAACTATGTTATTTGACTTATGAAGTTTTCAAAGTCATTACTACTAATGTTTATTTTATATAGATAAAACTTCGTTTTATTTTTGTTGCTTTATTTAGCGTTTGTATTATCTCAAAAGCGGTTGAGAGTAAGTGACATATATTTTTGCACGTAACTTTAAAATGGCGACTATGGGGTCAACATCCTGCCTTGAACAGGATCACATAAGCCGGCAATTGCTCTCTGAGCAATAAGCCCGGCTAAAAATCTTGTGAACACTGGTGAACAGGTGATGGACCCGATCAAGCCGCGGAATAGTCAAACCGACAATTGCTATTCGGATTTCATGTAATCGTTAAATAAGAACAAATAAGTATTGAAACTGTAGGGATTCGTTTTATTTAGTCGAAATACGATCATTGTTGTTGATATCAAGTAAAAGTCACCTGTATCATATGAATATATACCAGATTAACAGTCTTTTTTCTCTGAATTTTTAAGTTGACTTTTTACAGATTGTAACAAAAAAATCAAGACTCTTAATGAAGTTATTACCAAAAAAGTATCATTCGTTAATTTTGTTTTATGTCTCTCGCGATTTAATTAATAATAATTGTCATTTGTTATCAGACATGTGGTCCTGCACACAATGCACATTTAGCAATGAAGAGTACAAGTCAAAATGTTCAGCGTGTGGGGCACGAAAGGGTAAGAATTTTACATAATAGTAAATGATGGGCATTAGTTTTCTATAAATGTAAATGTAGCAAAGGATTTTTCAAATGCACGGTAACAGGACCATTATTGAACAAAGGATATATCCACTTTTGAAAATGTAACCATCAGATTAAAAGGCAAAATAATGTGAAAACCATAAACAGCTGAACTTCAAGTTACTTGAAGTAAGGCCAAAATAAAAAATACCTTTGTTTCCCCTAACGCGACCGACCCAATTAAATCGCACCGACTGAAAAGATTTTTTAAATAAGAAGATTCAATTATTTTTTTATTGTTAACTAAGTTTCATAAAATACAATTTCATCGAAATCAGTTTTTAGCAGAACGGCCGACATTGTTTTACTGTGATTTGTTGAAAAAAGTGGCGCCAAGATGTGATTACCATTGCTCCAAATTTAGACATACTTATGCACATTTTTGCCATTAAGCTGTAAGAGATCTTTTTTGAGCCAGCATCCTTTGCGAGACTGGACATAAGTTTTTATGGTCCCTTTTGACAGACTGTTTTCAACGTTCCTTATTGGTATTTGGACCTGCGATTTATAATTAGACACTTACTTCTTAACTCTAAATCAAAATGCTCTAGAAACACTGCAAATCTGATGGCCCTCAAAAAGTACATTGATTGTCTATAAGCACTCGGGGCTGATGGAAGGTTTGAAAAAAAATACTCGGATGTCCGGTCTTTGCGTATTTGAGAATCTTGTCTTTATCTATTCGATCTATATAAATGTACTCTGACGTGAGATATCTCACAAGTTCAACTAAATAACAGTTGTAAATTAATTATTCATGAATTTTCCTTTAACATGTTTAAACAGCATATGTTTGATACCTAGCATTTTGTTCACAAATCGCTTTCTTTTGTACTTTTCTTACTTAAAAAGTTTTTTTTCTATTAAATTTTAGAACGTATTTTCAAAGCTGCTGTCATAAAATAAAATTGTTTACCTACCTACCGACCCACTTGGAGAATTCAGGGTCGGGTTAGGGGAAACAAAGATATTTTTAATTCCGGCCTAATACATAAAATTTTGTAAATTTAAAAACTTAATGAAATGTTTATCGGTTATCTGAATATTGTTAATTTCCAATGTTTATCGGTTATCTTTATATTGGTAACTTTCAGGTTCTGGTGGCGGAGGACACGGCGCGAGAGGAAGAGGAGGAGGACGCACAAAATACGGACGAGTTACCGATGATGAAGTGCGCATCGTCCTACTGGGAAAAACCGGAACAGGAAAGAGCGCCACAGGAAACACTATCTTGAATGGTGATTTCTTTGATTCAACAACATCTGGTTCATCTGTGACATCTCGTTGCACCAGCAGACATGCCCAACGCTTTGGTAGGGACATTCAAGTTGTGGATACACCTGGGATATTTGATACCAACGCCCCAAATGATAGAGTTCAGAGAGAAATTGTCAAATGTATTGGAATTACGTCTCCTGGACCACACTGCTTTCTGCTTGTCCTCGGACTTTCCCGTTTTACACAAGAAGAAGAGGAGAGCATTGATCATTTTGTCAATTATTTTGGTCATAAAGTTTTCCGACATTTCATCATTCTTTTTACAAGAAAGGATGACCTAGATCACCATGGCAAGACACTGGACGATCACATCAAGAGTGTTCCACAAAGTCTGAAAACAATCATTCGGAAGTGTGATAATCGCTGTATTGCCTTCAATAACCGAGCCACAAGCCCCGAAAGACAAGATCAAGTAGAGGACCTTCTAGAAATGATAGACGATATCGTTCGCCAAAATCACGGAGATTGTTACACGAATGACATGTACTCTGAAGCCGAAAAGGTAATGAAACAAAGACAATACCAAATAGAGAAGAAAAGGGAACGACAACGTGAACGAGAAAGGAAAGAAATAGAACATGAAATAGAGCAGAAGTACAAACATCAACAAAGCGGTCACTCTAGAAATCAAAATGCACTAGAAAACCGAGTTGCAGAGCTGGAATCTAAACGAGACTACTATAAGAGTCGGTCTTCAGAACTTGACAAGGAGATCCACGATCTTGAAGACGAGATAGAGTACGAAAGAAGACAGCATGGTTCTCCTAGCTCCCATCTTCTAAAGAAACTCAGAAACTTAGAAGACGAGCGTACTCGATTGGGATCCGGAAAAGAGAAGGAAATGGAACGAGAGATAGAAGATCTCAGACTGGAGCTCAAGCGCATGCACAAGCACTCTAAAAAGATGGCAAAAGAGAAAGATCGAATGTACCAAGAAAGGCTGGAAGAGCATGACCGGAAGTTTCGAGAGATGGAGAATGCACGTCACGAGGTAAGAGAGGAAGTAGAGAAAGGTTCCGGAGATGTGGGAGAAGCTCTTCTTGGTGGTATACTGAGCATAGGAAAGCTAATATGGAAAGGAATACAGATGATGATTTAATATTTGTGTACTTTTTCTAAGAGATGCTCTTCAACACTTCCCTGATATGTGTTATCATAGACACAGGGAAATACAACATAATTTTATTTTGGAACTGTTTAAGTTCAATTATTTTTCTGTATTCCAGTGTTCATTTTAAAATTGTACATGTATATGAACTGTACAGACTTCTGGTTAAAGCATGTTTAAACATGTTTATCGTAGCAATCTCAAGGGCGTGGTAGGAGAGGTCGGGATAGAGGAAGAACGCCACGTGGAGGCCATACTAACCACTGAATTCGACCTTGTTAGATCAACTTGTTGACTTACAGTCTTTTTTTTCATTTTATTGCTTAAAATACGAAATCAAAGTGGGAACAAATTAAACATTAACTTTCATAGATATTTTGTCGCTTTCTTAGCCAGTCAAATCAACATTTGTATATATTTAAAACTTCACATGTCATATAAAGAAAATTTGATTTATTTTTAAAGAAAAGAACTGAACTTTCACATGTGACCTTTCTTAATTATAATACACTGTATATTTTAAATAAATAGAATATTACGTCTTTTGCATACTTTTGATGAAACCTTGATCATTGTCCATCTGGCCTTATTTTTTAAAAACATATTAACTCTGTTGGTATTAGGTAAAACAAAAGAGATAGGTGTGGAACAATGACTATACATTTAGATTGATATCATTTACTTATGAAGTACATGGGCATTGGCTGTACAATTGTCTGTGTCCGAGAAAAAACTGCTAGAGATGTATTTTAGAGGAACTGGATGCATTTATAGCCTTGAGATACAACTAACGGTTCACTTTCTAAGAATGAATTTCTTAAAAATCTGACACATTTCGACCTTGAATATTCCCAGTCAACCATGATTTGTTTTATCTGTCCAAAATTTCATAATATTCATATAAACTAAAACAAATATACTTTATTGGGTTCAGCAACCTACAAAGCCCCTAACTTTACTTTTGCAAAAATATAAACTGCTGTTATGAAGAAACGTGAGCCAAACAGCAGTGGTGCTGTGGTGTATTAAATAATATTTCCAAATTCAATATATCAACGCCAACTTTTCTTCACTCGGAAATTATCTTTGAATAATGGTCACCAACAAAGTTACTTTGTAAAATAAATCGTTCTGATTCTACACAAATGTACCCTGAAGTTTAAGGATGCTGGATTATCATTGACAACACATACATGTATGTAGTCATGCAGTATTCGGAAACAAGGTTTTCCAGCAATTTTTTTGGAGTTAAAACGGGCGCCAATTGAGCTGATTTCTAATTAGTTTTGCTATTCTGATATTAGTGCCTAATTACAACTCCTCCATACTTCGGAATGAATAAGTTGGTAATTCAAGGATTTTGCTTATTAATTAATAATTAATGACGCTTAAACATGTGTTAAAGGGAATTTTACTCCAAAATGGAGTAGAGAGGCTTTTGAAGAAACAACTGTAATGGTTAAAATTAAAAGTTTTTTTTTTACAAAATAATGAGTAGAAAAAGATTCCAATTTGACAAAAAACAGTGCATTTATAAATTGTTTTGAGCTTTGAATTTGCATATTTTGGCAATGTTTAGCAACCCTTCATAATCTCTAAAAGACTTATTGAGAGATAGAAGGGATTTACGCTGGGAATCCACAGTTTTCTAAATCTCAGTTATCATATACACTGTACATAAGTAATGAAGATAAATATAACAACATTTAAGGACATGTTGTTATCAACAATTCTATGCACTTGGACATATATGTTTTTTTATAATCAGGCTAGACAAGGAAATGACCATAAAATCTAATGACACAAGGAAACTTTATAATATTCATTAGCAAATTATTTCCAGTACAAAAAGGCATAAATATTTAAGAGAACTTCATTTAAAATTTTATCTTCAAAATCTGTAAATACATTCCTTCGACTCTAACGTTATTGAATCTCTAATCATGTGTGCCAGTAATGATTTCAACGAAGGTACGATCTTTATAAATTGTTCAATCTACATATTTTAAAAAGAAACTTTTTTTATTAATTTTGCAATAAACATTCGTTCGCTTGCAAACTTTATATATATATTTGAATGCTTAGAATTTTGTTCATGAACAGCAAGTTCTTATTTAACTGTATAGACAAGGTTAAGCACTTCTTGGGCAGAATTTAAATTGCAGGTACAGTATAGAATTCATTTCTAAAGATCACTACAATTCATTCCTCAATAGCGGCAATATTTTCCGTATAAGGTAAAAAAAACATGTTTGTTTTACCCCTATTTAACAGTCCCTATATTATTTCTTACTTTAAAAAGCCCATCAGTTCGACTGTTTTCCCCGACTGTCGGTTCAGGAACTATAATAGACTGTTAATAAAGACTGTTGCCTGCTGACGTCTATTGGAGCAAAAAAGAGTTATTTTATTCATTCGGCAAAGGAGTACGAAATATTATAAACAAGTTGTTGGCAGGAGTCTCGGGAAACAGCCGATCTGTTGGACCGGAAAATACAGTTGTTGACTGGGGTAGAGGGAGACAATCGATCTGCTGGACCGAAGTGCAAGATGTTGCCCAAGGCTGTAGGCCGCGAACAACATCTTGCACTCCAGTCCAACAAGTCGACTGTTTTCCGAGACTTCTGTCAACAACTGTTTTGTTATACTCCTTTACCGAATGAAAAGATACCTCAGTTTAGCACCATTTGATGTCAGCGGGCAACAGTCTTTTTTAACAGTTCCTGGGCTGACAGTCGGGGAAAACATTCGAACTGTTGGACTTTTTAAAGTAAGAAATTATATATGGACTGTTTAGTAGGGGTTTAACAATGCAAACAGTTGCCCGCGGCCCACGGCCTTGAGGAATAGCTTGCACTTCGGTCCAACAGATCGACACTTTTCCTCTATCGCAGTCAACAACTGTTTACCATTATCTGAAGAAAGTGTGCTATTCTAAGTAATTATGCCTTACAGTGAGGAAATATACTTACGTTAAAGATGCACTTTTTGGAGTATTTAAAGGACTTTTCGCCAACTTTGATATAAAATATACTAATGATAAAATAAATTAAAAACGAAATGTTGCTTACGTTTAAATTGAATTATTAACATCACTTTAATCATCATTGGATTGCTGTATGTATGTAGTTACATCATGAAGTTTCTTATTCTTTATTCTATTCTACTCCGACTGAGTAATCGGTTACAAATTGCCATCCCTAATTTATTCATTTAACAATCTTTGTTATTTGTGATTTTTTCCCCATTTATTTACTGTTTAAATGGCTTAATTTAATGATAAAATGGCATCATCAATTTTAAAAGAAGTTAGTAAAATGTGTAATGCATTCAATATTCAGAATTTCACTCTGAACAATTCAGAGTACTAGTATATCAGCATGTCTTCAATAATACCAATTCTACAAAGGAAGTCATAGCTGCAGAACTGTAGCGTTATGGTTTTATATATTTGTCTTGACCATAACGCTACAGATTCCGTAATGCAAAATATGTGCAATTTACGGCGCAAGATTTTTTGCAAATCACCTACCTTTCACTCCCTTATTTCAGAAACATTCTTAAGAAAAATGTATATTTTATCTTCCTCTCAACCCTTTACAGGCGATAAACTGGATTGATCTGAATTCTCTGAGGGATTGCATAAAATTCTAATTCAAGCGAGTTTATCGCTTGAAGAGACGATTCTATATAAAGGGTTAGGAGGTGTATGAAATTAACAGATTTATTTCAAAATTTGTCTAGAATTATGGAGGGAAACGTAGATGATTTACCAATGTTCAGTGCGCAAAAAATCTTGCGCCGTAAATTGCACATTGCATTACGGGATCTGTAGTGTTCAAGCTAAGGAAGTCAAAGATTAGAGTGTTATCTAACATCGCCCTCTCTCCTATCCTAATGCATACAAACTACATGCATTTCACTTTGATTGATATCATAAGTCATATGTAACCAAAATTACCTGTTCTGAACATATTCTTAGAAACTTGAATTTATTGACTCTTCAAAGGATATAGTGGAGGACACAAACATCAAAGGGGATGGAGAGGGAGCTCAAAATACGGAAAAGAGGTCGAAAATGAAGTACGGATTGTGCTTCTTGGAAAGACCGGAATAGGCAAAAGCGCTACAGGTAACACTATTCTTAATGGTGATTTCTTTGATTCAACGACCTCTGGATCTTCTGTGACGTCACTTTGTACAAGCAGACACACTAATCGGTTTGGCAAGAATATTCAAGTTGTGGATACACCTGGGATATTTGATACTAATGCTCCAAATGAAGTTGTTCAGAGAGAAATTGTCAAATGTATCGGGATCACTTCCCCTGGACCACACTGCTTTCTGCTTGTACTTGGACTTTCTCGTTTTACACAAGAAGAAGAGGAGAGCATTGATCATTTTGTGACCTACTTTGGAAAGAAAGTTTTTCGATATTTTATCATTCTGTTTACAAGAAAGGATGACCTAGATCACCATGGCCTGACATTGGACGATCACATCAAGAGTGTTCCACAAAGTCTGAAAACAATCATTCGGAAGTGTGATAATCGCTGTATCGCCTTCAACAACCGAGCCACAGGGCCTGTATTGCATGACCAAGTAAAAGACCTTCTAGAAATGATAGACGATGTAATTAGCCAGAATCATGGAGAATTTTACTGCGATGAAATGTACTCCGAGGCAGAGAAAGTAATGAAACATCGACAATATCAAATTGAGAAAGAAAGAGAACGGGAGAAAGAGCGCGAGAGAAAGAACATTGAAAAGGAAGTCAAGCAGAAATATAAAAGTCGTTTGGGAGCTCATATCCAGAACCAAAGCGCTTTAGAGCACCGCGTCGCGGAGCTTGAGTCTCGGAGACAGCACCAATCAGGCAGAACACCTGTACTTCAAAGGGAAATTAGTGAGCTTAAGGATCAGATTGATCATGAAAAACGTCGGTATGGGAAACCAAGTTCCCTTCTTCTGACCAAACTCAAACAGCTTGAGGACGAGAACGAACAAATGGGGTCCATGACGGATAATGCTATGGAGGCAGAGATAAATGACCTCCGACAAGAACTACAGCAAATGCAAAAACACTCCAAGAAAATGGAAGAGGAGAGGGACCGATCTGTCCAAGAAAAGCTGCAGGAACATGACCAGAAATTTAGTCAGATGGAAAATGCGCGGCATGTGGTCAGAAAGGAAGTAGAAACTGGTTCTGGACTCGTGAATGACGTTTTGATGGGTGCTGTCATATACATGTGCAATTTCAATGTGCTTAACAGTAAAAAATAAAGTGGCATGTTTGATTTCCCAAAAGCAGCCCCCGTCCACCCCTTTTTTTTTAAGAATCTGATATTTTGATAGGTTTTTATCGAAGGAATATTGATGAATAAAGCTTTTCAGGGGGTATCGATGTGTCTGTTGGGAAGTGTGCATGGAATGGAATAAAGTGGCTGTTTTGAAGATCTGGGGGCCGTAACAGAAGGCATGCTATTTAGATTTTAAATGTCGCAACCCAAAAAAAAAAAAATATATATATATATATATATATATATATATATATATATATATATATATATATATATATATATATATATTAAAATAAAAAGATTTCTAAACTATAGGTTGTTTTTGAAGATTAAATAGGAATACACACACACATATATATATATATATATATATATATATATATATATATATATATATATATATATAAGTTTCTTTATCAAATAAATACGAAGTACTGTGCTTGTAGCTAATTTTTTGTAAATTAATGATTTCTTATCCTCAAAAATAATGTTGGTATTGTAAATATTGTTCACTTTTTTTTAGATTCATCAGGAAGACATTAAAGATGATCAAAATACAGAAATTACTTGACATTTTTTCTTAATTACCTGAATGCAACAAATCTGAGAAATGATCTCTCAGAAAGATGAAATTTTCTATGTGTTGAAAGTTGTTGAATTGTACTTAAATGTTTGTATTTTGGTATATGTACAAATGAAAGCGCTTTTTTAAAACAAGTATGTTTTTAGAAATAGGGATAGACCAATGAGACTGGAATTTAGTGTAACAACACATTATATATATATGTATGTGTTTATAAAGTTGTTATTTGTTTGTTTGTTTGTTTCTTTAAAATCTCTTCGAGAATTTTTCACTCATATTAAGATGCCACCAGGCTGGGTTTTTACAAGGGCATATTCTTTCATAAAATAATTATTTTACAGGCATTGTAGATGTGTGCCTAAGAGTAAAAATAACGCGGTCTTACCATCCAAAGCTTTTAGAATCAAAATGCATTTCTTCAATGAATTTACCATCAGAGAAATTCTAACAAAAATATATGGGAAAGACCTATTGATATAAATAAATGTTAAAGCATCATGATCATCTTTGTAAATCATGATATCCATCTTTCTAAACTCGATAAGGCGGAAGAAACGGTGCCGGAGACTCCAAGAGGGAAGGAAGCAGGATTAAGGGCCGTCATGTGCAGCTGCTTATGTTAGAATCACAACAAAATTTAATTTTAGTGTGAATTAAAGTAATTTTGGATTAATAATTATTATCATAATGAAAAAAGTGACTTTGACGGTTTAAAAAAGTTTATTTATTCCCAATATTTTGACATGTTCCAGGAAATTTCTGAGAATCTAGAGGAAGTTAACTCTTGAGACGTTCTTCCTTAAAGAGCGTTTGCGTTGAATTATAAAATTATGTAATCCTTCTATAAGGAAATCATAACACAAGTGTGAAATGTGGGATTTCGATTTCTATGGAAATAAAATTTGGCATAGTTAAATCATGATTTTGATTTTTCTTTTTTAGTTATGTTTTTATTTAATGAATCTCAATTGCGGAAAGCACTGTATTTAGGCTTTCTTGGAGTTAGAAAGTCACTGCCTGTGTCTTGTTGGTAATATATCAGGACAATAATAAACATTTTGAAACGTAGAATAATAAACATAACGAAGAAAATGCAGATGGAGAGTGAAGACGTGAGATTTTTGGCACAGTGGGAATTTTATAAGACTTTCACAATCATTTCACACTTTAATTAGCATACAGCAATCTTGTTCATTCAAGACAGATTTATAAACTATTTAGTCTTTACTAAGTCATTCACTCTATAACTCTCAGACATTTATATAAACCGACACTATACACGTGAAGATACATGTAGATTTTTTATCATTAGAAGCTCCTGTTCCAACCAGTGGACCCGTTTTTGCATGTGATATTGGCGAGGTACGGAGTCTTCAGTGCAAACAAGTACGTCACCTCTTAAGATCAGTGAATCATACTCAGTACAGTACTGTTACAGTAGTAATTAAATAGTAATCCGTGGTTTCACCGAACCATAAAGAACAGTTTATATTACTCACTAAAAGTATAAACTGAAATCTTCTGTATCAACTATTCAAAAAAGATTCATGACTATTCAAGCAATATAAATTCGTTACATAAAGATTGTTTGCCAAATTCTCTTTCTCATCTGTTTTGCCTTTGATGAAGTTTTGTTAATTCAATCTTTATTTATGGCAGAACTGGTCCTAATTCTGTGTCCTGAAATACACGAGCTATTCCTTTGGATTCTATTGTTTTTTCAAACTTATCAACATCTTCCTTAAAACTAGTACTGTTTGTTGATTGCTGTGCAAATAGATTGTCCAGCTTCGTTAAGTCAGGTCTATATCCGTCAAATTTAAACTGTATAGGAGTGATTCCCAGATTTTGAAGAGGTTCCACCATTTTACTTCCACAGTTCTTTGACAGAAATGAAACGAAGAGAAGTCTAGCTGGATATACTTCATCGTGGTATTGTTTGAACATCTCCGCAAAACTACAAAACAAGAAATATCAAAATCACCTGACATGAAAGAAAATATTACATAATACTTCCATAATGTAAACTACACAAAAGTTGCATATAAAGTGTAAAGGAAGAATTTAAATAGGTATTCTTCGAGATAAGAAAATTTCTTTAAATAAAATTAGATTTTCATTATAGCTGACTGCATGTTGGTAGCTGGTTCCCGTTCCACTTCTTCCTCGTCCGTGACGATCACAAACGTCTTCACCACTTCCTTCCTCTGGTAAAACGGAAGAAGCGCTGCCGCCGGACACGTACCCCCCTCCGCCTTTATCTCCATCGCTAGGTTACACACTTCTTGGACTGTACTAGGGATATATGGGGCGGGATGACTTTTATGATCGAAGAAGACTAATTTAGCAGATGTGATGACAGCGAGGATGCCGCCAATAATAGAGCTGGTGCGAATGGCTACATCCATCGACCCGGACTTGTCTCCTAGTATGACAACCGGCGCGTCCAAAGAAAACCTGACAAGGACATTATAATAGAATAATATGATGAAATCTTTTCTTTTATTCTTCGAGTCTATCATATCTTTTAGAAATTTGGTATTTTTTATTTCTAGATACATGCCAGGTACGATATATAATAAACCATGCATTACATATTCTTTCCACATGGCGGCTGCAAAATGGCACTAGTAAATACTGAGTAGCTCAATTTGTATATTCTGTCTCACATAGCACTTTCAACAGTCTTTGAAACCGATATAAAATAAAAAAAATTTAAATGTTTTTAAAGAAAAGAAAATCAATAAAAATCTTTTGAGGCCTTACTCGGATATCTTTAAAAAATTAATATTTAAAATCACAGTGGGTTACTTTATATTTGCAAGGCGCTCCTGTGCAAGCTCTGACAGCTTTGTGGAGAATTTTGCGATGTCGGGGTCGGGAGTGTACATTATTTCTCCTGGGCCCTCCGCTAGAGCTTCCCAGTCCCAGGATTCTAAGATCCGTCTCATTTCCTCCTCGGCGTTCAGTGGCTCGCCTGCCTGCATTAACCGGAACATGAGAATACGTTCCAGGAGCTTTCCAAGCGCCAGATTGACCGGGTCACCTTTCTGTAGACGAATTTCTACCTTCCTATCTACCTGTGGGCATTTCAGTTCCTCGTAATACCTTAATTAAGAAAAGACAATCTATCTAAAAAATTGTTTTAAAAAATTGTCAGAGAAACGTGAAAAATATGTCCAGTGGAAAGTATAAGATTAAAATTACGTCATCTCAAACTTTCTCCGTTTCCATTGCTTTAGGAGGTTACACGTGTGATACATGCACTACATTAACAGCTGATTAAATTTTTCTTTTATAGTCTAGATGTTTTTTGTTTAATAAATGAATTGACTACATGTAAATATATTGAAATCATAAATATTAAACCAGGAGTTTCATCAAATACATGTATATCAGTTTCGATGAGGTAACTAGCCATTTGGCGATTTATTTTATTGCTTTAATGCTGTCTTTAAGGCTGTCCACATCATCAAAACTTCGCTTAAAGTGACATAAAAATATTTTTTAAACTATGGAAACGGAATTTTAATAATTGAAATAAGACATCTAACCATAAAATAGTATCCAGTTTTTCCTCGTGTTTTGCTATTTTTCCTTTTATTTCGTCTGTCAAATAGGTAATGAATGGTCTAACTTTGGTGTATGGGACGTTATGATCAAGGAGAACTTCATTAATGTTGCTCTGTGTGATGCTCCTAAACTTGTGCACTAGACTGCCCTCTGGCGGGGTCTCTCCGAAGCAGAAAGGTAAAAACCACGGAACTGAAAAATCCTATAAAAATGTCCATTGTTACCAATATCCTAATGATAAAGAGCGGCTGTTAACTATTGAAATTCTTGAAAAAAAAAACATTTTTTTTTTTACTGAAATTATAATTTACACGAATATTTATCTAAAAAATAACCCAAAGTTTAATTGTTGTCAATACAGAAATATTAAGCTCCTCTCTCCTCAGCGTATATAAATATCCTTTCATGTACTCTCAGACGAGCTGTAGTTTTAAATTGATACACATCAGTAATAATTTAGTAGAAAACATTATACATTATACCTTGACTGGGTGAAAATGACATATATCAGCCAATCTCTTCCACAAATCAACAGGAAAATGTAGGGCGAAGAATTCTAACTCCTGCTTAGTTAAGGTACGTGTCCACCGCTTCACGTGCTTACATACCGCCCCGCTAGCTGACCCAGTCTATGAAAGAATTGCATGTATAATTATGATCAAACATGACATAATGCTAATATATATGTTTATTTTTACATGTTATAATTACTCATTAATTTATTGATAATAATTTATAATTAAAAAAAAAAGAAAAGATTTCTAGCATTTAACTGTGACTACCGAGGGCTTCATTTTCATCAAATTGTCTATGTCGGATTTCAGTTTTCCCATCGTACTCGGTTTCACATTATTTTTCTGAATTTGAAGTCTCTTGTGTTTCTTTTCAAACACTCTTGCTTGTCTTCCCGAGTCCAATAAAGCGATCGCTTTTGACACCTCCACCACACCAAATAGTTCCTTCCTCTGTAACAGTGTCTCTGCCAACTCGTGGTCCCCGCGTGCCCAGGCGGCAGCCAATGCCTTGACTTTTGAATCTGTTAGTAAATATACGAAAATTATACATTTTTCAGACATATTTCCATTTCTTTCTTTTTTTTTTTTTTTTGCTCTGTGATAACTCTTTAAAAATTAGCGGAGTTGATTTCTAGATAATTCTTCCGGAATGTAAATTAGGAAGGTCGATAGGTCAGGAGCTAAGGAGGCCTAATATGCATGCAAATCTATCCTTCGGACTACCTTTGTATTTGACGTCAGTGGGCGAGGACTATATTGAAAGTGACATGGAAGTCCTCGTGTAATTTAAACCAATGTCTACATTTTAAAATCTAATTCTACAATTCTTTTTCGCCCGTTATGCAAATTATCCCATGTTTCCCATTATCGTTGATGTCCTGGCATACTACACTTACTATACAGTGATCCTAGTTTTTATGCGCCCGGATCGATAGATCCGAGGCGTATATTGTTTTTGTCCTGTCTGTTTGTCTGTTTATCTGTTTGTTTGTCTGCTGAAAACTGTAACCTTCGCCATAACTTTTGAACCTTGAGATATAGAGACTTCATATTTGGTATGCATACTTCACTAATAAAGTTCTTTCAAAAGACACCAAGGTCAATGACTCTGTGGCCTTGACTGTGACCTACAGTCTAAAAATAGCTTTTTCAAACTGTTGCCATAACTTTCGAAGCATAGGAGATAGAGACTTCACATTTGGTATGCATACTTCACCAATAAAGCTCATACAAATGACACCAAAGTCATTGACCTTGAGACCTTGACTGTGACCTTAATGCTAAAAATAGCTATTTTCGAACTTTTGCAATAAGTCCTGAACCATAGAAGATATAGACTTTATATTTGGTATGCATACTCCACTACTAAAGTTCTTTCAAATAACATTAATATCAATGACGTTGTGACCTTGACTGTGACATATATGCTAAAAATAGTTTTGTGTAACTTTGTTGCCGTACCTCGGGCGCATAGTGTTTCACAAACACATATCTTGTTTTTTTTTTTTTTAAATAATTTCCTATATAGGTTTTTTTAAATCTTCTTAATAATTTTATAATAACCTATTTTTAAAATAAATTAATTAGTTCTTAATAATTTTATGGTTAATTGTTGCATATCATTCTAATGGTATATATTATTTCATTGATGAGTCTTGCAGTGCAGATAAGTTGTCAATCCGGGCATTTTCCTTAGATTACGCACAGTTTTGCATTTTTCTCCATGAATTTTGTATCAAAATAAAAATTAATTTGATGAAAATAAACAAATCATTCAGAAATGGTCCCATAAATAATTTTATACTTACTTTGCGGGATCTCAGCTTTCCATTTTTCCATTGTTCGTATTGCAGCACAATATAGAGTCCGGTTTTCCGTTTGTTCTTTGAAATGTAGGTCAAACTTTACATTTTTGGTGAAAAATTCTACTGGATCGTCTCGCAATTCTATCTCTGAATCAATTCCTAGGTTTTCATGCTCTTCATTCGCTCTATTGGGCTTACGATTTTTTCTAGATCCGCTCCTTCCACTTCCATGTCCACGCCTCTTTCTCTGTCCAGACATTTTCTCAATCAAGAAAATCTTTTGTTTAAGCAACTTGCTACTGTCAAATAACTGCACATTACTTTTATATCTATGCACACATATCGCAAAAAAGATAAACAGTATATAGGTAAACATGTATCGATTACACAACTTACAGAAATCCACCTTTGATCTGTTGATCTCAATCGCATATTTCACAGATTTGCGTCATTTTTCACTTTCCATGGACCTTATAATTATACTTTACTAAAATACTAAATAGGTTCATGATTATTCATAATAATGTATTTAGTGAAAATAGTTTCAAACCATTCTTAGTGGATCAAGAAATGACACATTTCTTGAACGAGTTAACAAATTATACTCTACTCTCCTTTCATGGAGGTAATAAAGTGAAATGTTGACGGTGACAGCTGACGATTTCCAGTTTGTCATATGATATTAGATATATTAAGATATTTAGTTATATAGATGCAGCAGATAGTCCTTTATTTCAAGATCTAGAGAAACTTGATATTTAAGAAAAAAACATTAATATGAAGAATGTTCAGCTTTATTAAGATTTGATCGATATGGCAGGTAAGTTGTGACATTATCAGATTATGATCAAATCATGCAAGGCAAGTTTTGTTTTGATTTGTTTAATACAACTAGCAAAATTTGAGGACAGTGAAAGAATATTTCATTTTTCCTTGGGACTTAAATTTAAGGGTTTAGACTGGTTTTGATTTCTACATGTTCTAGCATAAACTCATTGCAATATTTATCTCCTTTTCTGTTTCCCATCTCTGATAAATAAACTTTAATTTATCTCAATATCTGTCGAAGTTGGTGCAAAAGTAAGTCTCACAAGGGACTCGAATTTATGGCCTCTAGTTCACTAGGAGTGAAACGGTTCACCGCGGTATCGGTTCACCGCGGTATTTTTTCTCGGTTCGATACACGGTACAAAATCTCTGCTTTCGGTTCGGTTCGTTGTACGGTCGGGATCGTCATTCAGGTCGGGTTTGGCATAAGGTATAAACATGCTTTTCTGTATAATTAATTCAGAAACGTAAGTTTGTGTGGACTTGAAGTTTGTAAAATAATTTTTAACAGTCAAATCAATTAAATTGATACATTCTATCCATTTTGCACATAAATTATTTTACTAGATTAAGTAAAAGGTAGCATAAAACAACACTGAATCTGTTTCCTTCTATCAAAATGTATCGTATCGAAAATAACCGAACCGAGACCAAATTTTTCGATACGTATCGAACCGTGAAGGAGGCGTATCGTTTCACCCCTATAGTTCACTGTGCCAGCACTCACACCACTGTACTATTTAGTATCAATATATTGACTAACTTTCACACACTTGTGACCCCTATAAAATATCCAACCCCACCCCCAAATCCCTTATAGACTGCTATCCTCAAATTCTAATATGTTGACGGTGTGACCGTTAGAGCGAGCACAAACACTTCTATTGTTTTGATTTAGATCGGGCTCGTCAAACCTCACGTGACATTTGGTGCATCTAGACTCTGACGTCACATGACGTATGTAAGTTGCAATATACCGAGAAAAGCCTGAACAGTGCTGAAAGTTAATGAAGAACATTTTGTTTTCTATTTAAACAATAATATTATATATATCCATTAAATTAAACAATAATTTAATATATATCCATTAAATCAAGGCGAGTAAACTTTTTGTTGAACATTTGCTGTGATTCTCGCGAGAACGTAGCTAAAACAAGTGATGCATTGTGGGTCCAAATTACGGCATCAAAAAATTCTATCGAATGAATGTGCAGTAGTCAGAATTTTCTCTTCGCACAGGCGTTGCTTTAAGAGCTCACTATGCGAGCGGCGCTTCGCGCCGCCTCGCTGCGCTCGCTATTACAATCTTTTGTGCAGAGTTGTTGTTTGTTCCTCTCTCACTCTCACTCAGACACCTCTGCCAAATGTGTTAAATGTGATATTTGCTGGATAGTAATGTTTCGAATTAAATTAAAAGTTCATGATTGATTTTATAAATCTCTATCTCAAAAATCATACATAAGCATAGAAATTGAATTATAATGAATTAAAACAAGCGACTATTTCACGTATTTACCACTGTCACAGTCTGTGATAAACGCAAACCAATGACAGAAATGAATTTATGAGTCAATGGTAGAGAGTGATTCTATGAGTAAAGAGAATTCTTAGGGCATGTTTCAAGGGAATATATATGTTGAACTCAAATCACACAGGTGATGATATATATCATCTCAGCCTAGACTTAAATTCAGGACCTCTTCATGTCCTCTTGATGTATAATTCCAGTGCTCTAATAACTGTGAAATTGAGATCTTTCACTGACTGCAAGAGTCCCATACACCTTCAAACCCTGGTGACATTAATGCAGTATGTTTTATGTTATCAGGAAGAGGAATTGGAGTAGTATTTAGTTGATGATTGATTTGATAAATTCCAAAGATGTAATTTTTGTTTTTATCAAATAAAATTAAACTGTATAGAGGTAAGTAATATCATATAAATGAATTACAATTGAAAAAAAATATGCTCTTAAAGTCATAAGAATGTAAAAGTAAGTACATACATTTAGCATGTTGACATGTACTTCCTATAAAGTTTTCCTCATGTTATTCAGTATGTTCAGATTATCCTTTTGATTATTATTTCTTTTTGACTAGATTCTCAATTGCTCTCTGCACACAAATGGAGGAACCTTGCTGGTTTCTGGTGAGTATAATTATTGATATTTATTTTTGCTAACATGTGTGTGTTTTGAACCCATTCAGTAAACAGGTAGTGCCTGTCAAGATGTATTCTTTTTAGAGAAGTTGACAGGCTTACATTTATACATGTATCAATGCCTGAAAAGAGAGCAATCAAAATGTTGCGAAAAAGTATACCATCGAATAGCAATGACCACGGAAACAGCATATCATATTTAAATAGAGACTAGTCCTACATGCCTATGAAATAACTTTTCCTGTCTCGTGTATTCATGACAAACGTACTTCTTATAACTTTGCCCATGTCAAATGTTTGATAGGACACTAGAATTAGACAATAGGACATTGTAATAATTTTGTCTATGTATATGTTTATAGGACACTCAGACGATGTAATAACTTTGCCTGTGTTTTATGCTCGATAAGACACTGGGGCTATGTAATAAATTTGCCTATATCATATTTTTTTTAGATTTCTGGGGCTATGTAATAATTTGCCTATATCATATGTTTTTAGACTCTGGGGCTATGTAATAATTTTGCCTATATCATATGTTTTTAGAACTCTGGGGCTATGTAATAAATTTGCCTATATCATATTTTTTTAGATTTCTGGGGCTATGTAATAACTTTGCCTATATCATATGCTTTTAGACTCTGGGGCTATGTAATAACTTTGCCTATATCATATGTTTTTAGAACTCTGGGGCTATGTAATAACTTTGCCTATATCATATGTTTTTAGAACTCTGGGGCTATGTAATAACTTTGCCTATATCATATGTTTTTAGAACTCTGGGGCTATGTAATAACTTTGCCTATATCATATGTGTTTAGAACTCTGGGGCTATGTAATAATTTTGCCTATATCATATGTTTATAGAATTCTGGGGCTATGTAATAACTTTGCCTATATCATATGTTTTTAGAACTCTGGGGCTATGTAATAATTTTGCCTATATCATATGTTTTTGAACTCTGGGGCTATGTAATAACTTTGCCTATATCATTGTTTTTAGAACTCTGAGAATATTAAAACTTTGCCTATATCATATGTTTATAGAACTCTGGGGCTATGTAATAACTTTGCCTTTATCATATGTTTTTAGAACTCTGGGGCTATGTAATAACTTTGCCTTTATCATATGTTTATAGAACTCTTAGGCTATGTAATAACTTTGCCTATATCATATGTTTGATAGAACTCTTGGGCTATGTAATAACTTTGCCTATGCCATCTGTTTAATAGGACCCTGGGACTATGTAATAACTTTGCCTATGCCATCTGTTGCCTATGCCATCTGTTTGATAGGATTCTGGGGCTATGTAATAACTTTGCCTATGTCATCTGTTTGATGGAACTCTTGGGCTATGTAATAACTTTGCCTATGCCATCTGTTTAATAGGACCCTGGGGCTATGTAATAACTTTGGCTATATCATATGTTTGATAGGACTCTGGGACTATGTAATAACTTTGCCTATGTGATTATGCTGAGTGCTGCACATGACATCCTGAAAGATCAAGAAGAAAAAACCCAGAAGGATGAGAATGTAAGGATTTAGACAAAATGTTTAGAAATCTGATTTCGGATGATAAATTAGAAGCATATCTTAAATATAAGGACACATTGGAAAGTTCAGGATTGAAAATTAAATGTAGGAGATTTTTTTTATCTCGGGACAGAAAGGCCACAGAAGGCATTCTAAAACAAAACTTTTTTTTTTTAAGACAAAATTAACATATTAATTGGTAAAAAAAAATTTGCAGATATCTTTTTTTTTTTGTTTAAGGTTATGCTGACCTGCATTGGAAATTGTTTTATGTTTATTCAACTTAATGTTGATTAAAGATGAAGATGCTCATGAATTTATTTTAATGCAATTTAGATCATTAAAATGGGGGGGGGGAGCAAACCTGTTACTGTGCAATGTGCAATATTATACAGTTTCTTTGTTCATGTTGTTCACCTTTTTTTTTTAGATCACAACTACTCCCACCTCAACTAACGTGACATACTTAGAATGTAATGAAATCTCCACAGGGGTAAGAAATAAAAGACATTCCTCATTCCAAATAAATGTATGGAAATCCAAGAATATTCAGTACACAACTTTTTGATTTCTTTCTATAATGTCACACAGATTTGGATAGCTTTTGAATTTTTTTATTGTTTCATCATGAAATTCTTGCTTAATAAAATAGCTGAAAGATTACTGTCAAGTGGGATTTTTTTGTGTTTAAATATTATACTAAAAGGAGGTTAAAGTGGTCTGTACGTTGTTAAACAATGTATCTTTCATCTGGTATTAGTTTTCCTCAAACTCTTGTGTAAATCAGTCTCAAGTGTAGATTAAACATACTGAAAATGAAAACTAACTGAAAGATGAATTTTCTTTCTAAAATATATATCGGCCAAACTTACTGGCACTCTTTTGAGCTAACAAAACACCAGATTTTCCCACTTATTTTTGTTTTTTTATTACAGGCAATTTTATTGGCAGACATCATTCCAACTTTGGTGATTAAACTGACTGCACCATTTTTCATTCTTCATATAAGTTATAAGTAAGTAGAAAATACACAGTTAATAACCTTTTTCCCTCACCCTATCCCCTGTTGAATCTGTACAAGCTATCATATTACTGTAGAAGCACAAATTTCCTTGGGGATAAAATTTCGTTGATTTGTTATCAAAAATAGTTTTGTGGGCATTTAATTTTGTTGTTTTGAAAGCAAATCCATTCAATATATAGTCAAATAAAATTTCGTGTGGGATTAAATTTTGTTGATGATTGTTAACAATGAAATAAAGGAAATTTAATCCCCCATGAACATTTGTGCTTTTACAGTAATTAATTGTTATTGTTGAATGAAATTTTATGGTTCTGAAAATAGCACGTACATGTACAGTGATTTAAACAGAACATTTTTTCTAGAGTACGTGTTTTGGCATGTGTGCTGTTTTCTCTGGCCAGTTTTTTGATAGTGTCCTTTTCCACTGGAATATGGATGAGTATATTAGGTAAGGGGAAAAAAAAAGACAGTGGCCAATTGATATATCTATTTTCAAAGAGAAATAATAAGGGAAAATGTGTATTGTATGATATGCTAAAAATAGCATAATTGTTTAATTTCAAGAAAGGCATGATATTTTTGATATAAAAGATAATTTAGATGTTTGAATTGTTTTTAAAGATATTTATACCAAGAAGTCTGAGTATTGTTCCACTCAGAGAATAGGCTGTATTAAAAGTCAAGATTAACTTGTACTGTTCTCAGTTCTGGATAATTAAGTTTTAGAAGAAAGTCGTATAACGTACTGCAAGCCTTAATCCGTAACCTGAACCAAATTTAAATGGATTTAGCACCTAAGAAAACTCAACAAGAACATTTTCTTGTGTGACCATGCTTTAGATAACATTTGTCAAAGATGCTAGACTTAATGATTTCATCATTGCTACCGATGTACTACAACATGTATATGAATTCTTTACTTCCATTTCTCAGGAGTTGTTTGTGCCAGTATTAGTGGAGGTCTCGGAGAAACCACTTATTTTGGATTCTCCTCTTACTTTGAAAAGTAAGTTCATTTCCATTTTGTTTGCGTGAGAAAAAGTAGCTAAAATTATTGTAAAATGAAAATTGACAATGAACACAAAAATAAAGAATCTTTATTCTTTCTTCTAAATGGGAGTACTTTGGACTAGAGTGTATATTATATAATTATATTATTATATTTCATATTGAAGTTCTTTTTTTTTCACTTTTGTTTGTAGTTGAAATAATTATTATGATCTTTTATTTATAGAAATGTGATCTCTGCGTATTCATCAGGAACAGGTGGTGCTGGGATATTTGGTGCTCTCTCGTACGCGGGTCTAACATCAGCGGGTCTGTCGCCTCGGACGACATTACTTGTAATGACCATCATACCTGCTCTTATGTTTATAAGGTATGTGTACAATGTGTACATACTGAAATATGTTACTTAAATGTCAGGTTGTATTAAACGTTATGGTCTTTTTGATATTTATATTCTTGATTTTTTATTATAGCTTCTTCTTTGTGATAAAGAAACCAAACAAATTTTATCAGAAGGAGTACATAGTTAAATACAGCGAAGACACTAGTAGCCTGTTAAAGGACTCTGAAGATGCAGCTGGTAACTTAAGTTATGATTGTATTAGAATGTGTGTGTATGTGTATATAGAGAAAAGTTAACATATTTAAACAAATTTTGATAACTTGATGACATCATTATTACTGAGCTTAGTGCTTAGTAAGTTCTAGGAGGATGCCATGATTTTAGGAATCACCTTTGTTTATCTGTGACCTTTACTGCAGTGTAAATTATTGATTTTGTACAGTTGTAAAGATATTGAATCTTAGTTTAACATCCCTTTTGAGAAATTTTCACTCCTATGGAGATGCCACCACTTGCCGGTGGAGAGCTGCAAATTTTGACCTATGCTTGGCACTCAGGGCCATTGGGCAGGGAGGGAACTTTTTCATGTCAGCACCTACTGTGACATGGGACCTCAGTTTATATGGTCTCATGCAAAGGACTGGTCTTTACATCCAATAGTGGGATTCAAACCCACGATGTAAGAATCAATTCCTTACTCGGTGACTCTAGAGCAGGCACTCTAACCACTTCGCCATGCTGGCAACCAGTTATTAATTAAATGAAAAATGCATAGAACTTTCTAATTTTTAGTTAATAAGAATTAATGCAGAACAAACTCTTGAGTCAACATTGTCATTCAGTATCTTTTCTTCCAGATAAGATAAAAAGAAGACTCACAATAAGAGATAAATTGCATCTCCTTAAAGTAAGTAAATTAATTAATGCACACAGCATCTCCTTAAAGTAAAAAAAAAATGAATTAATGTACACATTGACTAACAGTAAGAAATAAGAAGATTTAGACAATTTTCATGTGTGAAAATATATATTTTCTTGATGTGTGAAGTTTAATATAACTCATGTAAACTCATGTTACTCTGTCTCAATTTTAAAAGTTCATGTTTCTTCACCACTGAACGCATGTACAACATTGTATTGTCAAGGATAACACAAGGAAAGTTTCTCAAAATTACTCAGTATAATTATTTTACACAGTGTCAGTTTGTATCATTTTTCCCATTCATAGTAAACCCTCTCATTCCCTTATAGTCATCTGTACAGACTAGGTAGTTTTGAATTTTTAATTGAATGGTAATCCTCATCAGTTAATTTAGATTCCTCTTGCTTTAACTTTATGTGCCAAAATTACCTGACTTGCAGTATACAATCATTTGATCATGTTGGTAGTCTCAAAAAGATATACTTGGATTTATTATTAAATCAAACAGACTGACAAGAGAACATTAAACACATTGAAAAAGTAACCAAAAAAAAAAACTTAAGAACTAAACATTATTTTAATCTAATTACATGTAAATACAACACAAGTAAAATGAATTAATACTGAAGTTTTCTTTTGATAAGTAGTTTTCATCCTGTATTTGTAGCCCTTGATGAAGTATATGGTACCTCTATGTGTGGTCTACATAGCGGAGTACTTCATAAACCAAGGGTTGGTATGTAATTCTACGTTTGATATACATTTTGGATTGGTATACACTGGGTCAGACTCAGCATTGGAGGGCACTTCAGTTTTTAGGGATTCATACATGTATGTAATATAGAAGTAGAAATATATTGTACACTGTTTATACACTAAGTAAATCAGAGTACTTAATTCATAGGCATCCAAAGCAAATTGAAAGTCGGGGGGGGGGGGGGGGCTCAAAAAAAAGGTAAGCTCATATTTTCAATGCCTATACTGGTATTATGTGTATATATCTTTGCAAAAAGGGGCTAAGTGCCAGGGATGGAAGATTTAACTTTGTGCCAAGTATAATTCTTAGAAATGATGTTTTCAGTACACTTTAAAGTCATAGGGAATGAAAATCACTGTGCTATAAGTGTCAGTTCGTTATTAGCATGTTCACTATAAGCGTGCTTTAAGTACATTTATATAATCTGAATAAATAAAGCAGAGTACATCAGTTATTAGGGATTAGTATACAATGTTTAAATGTAGTACAGAAATAGAGATAAATTTAACTTTGTATTCATCCATGTGCATTATGAACGATTCAATTTTATGTCTTTTTTCAGTATGAATTGCTGTACTTTAATGACATCTGGCTGTCTGAAAAGGAACAATACAGATGGTATGTTTGACAAGCTGTCTGTTTAAATGTTTCTACACTTCATACAAACTGCTCATACAAACCCAGCAGCTTTTAAAACAGCCAAAGTAATAAATATGCACACCATATTGAACTTTTATATCCAACCAAGGAAATGTGTAGGAAAAGAAATATTATGACTGTAAATAAATTTATCTCTTTTTTTATATTTTTTCTCAACAGGTATCAAGTGGACTACCAGTTAGGAGTCTTTATCTCAAGGTCATCAGTCAATGTGTTCAAAATCAACAAGCTTTGGATATTACCTGTTTTACAGGTATACACAGAGAGTGAGAAAGAGTGGCATTATTTATGATGTTATGAATACAAGTTAGGTCTAAGTCTAACCAGTTTGAATTCAATAATATATTTTCAAAATGTCACAGCTGATGTTTTTTTTTTTAAACTTCAGGATCATTAACACCTAGAATAGCAATTAGCACAGTATTTTTTTTTATCTTTTAGGTTGCCAATGTAGCAATACTCACAACACAAGTCTTTCTAAGATTCATCCCTAACATTTGGATCATTTTTGTGATTGTTCTATTTGAGGGACTACTTGGAGGAGCTGCATTCGTCAACACTTTCTACAAAATTTCAGAAGATGTATGTATAAAAAAAAACCCCAAATTTTTAGATTTTTTTGTTTGAAAAGCTTAAACTGGATTTTTAGCTCTCCTGAGACAAAGGCTCAAGTGAGTTTTTCTGATCAAAATTTTTCCATTGTCTGTGGTCATTGTCATCATTTTAAACTTTTCACATTTTCATCTTCTTCTCAAGAACCACTGGGCCAATATTTCAACCAAACTTGCCACAAAGTGTACTTGGGTGAAGGGGATTCAAGTTTGTTCAAATGAAGGGCGATGCCCTCTTCCAAGGGGAGATAATTATGAATTAGAAAAAAATTGATGGCATCTTTTAAAAATCTTCTTCTCAAGAACCATTGGCCAAGAAAGATTAAACTCATGTAGAATTATCCTCAGGTAGTGCAGATTCAAATTTGTTCAAATCATGACCCCCAGGGGTAGGGCGGAGCAACTATGGCTGAGTTTTACAAAGGAATATGTTGGAAAAATGTTTAAAAATCTTCTACTTAAGAACAGTGTCGCCCACGAGGCACAGTGATTAGAGCGTATGCTTTACAGTCGCTGTGGGAAGTGGAGACCGGTCCTTCAGATGAGACTATATAAACTGAGGTCCAGTGTTGTAATAGCTGCTGGCACTTAAGAGATCCCTCCCTGCTCACAGTGCTCCCTGAACAAAATTTACAGCTCTCCACTGGCAAGGCTTGGCATCCCCATATGAGTGAAAAATTCTTGAGAGGGATGTTAAACAGTATACAATCAATCAATCTCAAGAACAGCAAAGCCATGAATGATGATATATATCTGGAAGCATCCTCAGGTGGTGCAGATTTAAGTTTGTTCAGAACAAGACCCCTGCGGATAGGTTGGGGCCACAATAAATAATCAAAGTTTTACATAGGAATATACAGTTATACTTGCCGTAAAAACAAAGTCACTGGGACCTATGAAATTAGTTTGCTTTATCTGTAATTTGTTATATCTGTGTAAGGAATTAATTTAAATTTATATATTTGGGGATATAACTTCGCTATATCCAAATTTGCTAAAAATTAATCTACAGCAAATATTTCCAGATTTACGGTATATATTAGGAAAAAATATTGAAAAATCTTCTTCTCAAGAACATCAAAGCCATGGTTGGTCATATTTGTATGGAAACAACCTAAAGTGGTGTAGATTCAAGTTGTTCAAAATATGACCCCCCAGGAGAGGGGTGAGGCCACAATGGACGATCCAAGTTTAACATAGGTCTGGAATATGTAGGAAAAAAATCTTTAGAAATCTTCTTTTTTAAAAAATAGGAACAACAAACTCATGGTTTGTCAAATTTATATGAAAGCATCTCAGGAAGTGTAGGAACCCTTGGGGGTTGGGGGGGGGGCCACAATGGACGATGAAAGTTTAGCATAGGAGTATATTAGAACAATCTTCAAATTTGTTCTTCTCAAGAACACCAAAGCCATGATTGTTCATATTTATGTGAAAGCATCCACAGGACAATCAAAGTTTAACATAGGAGTATATAGGAAGAATCTTCTTCTCAAGAACAGCAAAGCCATGGTATGCAGGGTTCGACATTAACGTTAGTCCGTAAGTCTCAGACTAATACATTTTCATTTGGACTAATAAAATCTGTGGCTAATCGGTGCGAACGGACTAAAAAATTTTTTGGAAAAATGAATAATTTATGGATGTCCATTTCTCGACAACTTTCAATGGAAAACCCGGTTAGTATTTTTAGCTTTCTAGGCTTTTGGCGGGAAGTTAGGTAATTCCGAGTCAATTCTGCGCTTAATTTTAGGACTCACTAATATGAAATTAAACATATAAACAATCAAGATTTAGTATGACACATAAGGAGGTTGTCAGACGTTTGAATGATGTAACCATGTAAAGAGAAAAATGAATGAGATCGTAGTTCCTGATAGCCAGATTTCAACGAATCTTTGAGTAAATCATTTCATGTAAATGGTTTGTTTACTTTTTTAAAAAAAAGTATAAAAAGTACATTGCAATGTTTATTCTACTTATTTACTAGTATTTATTTATATATCTTGACGGACTCATAATATCGCACACGGACAAGTAAAAGTAAGGAAGCATTAGTCCAGCCGGACTAAAGCTTAAAAATGTTATTGTTGAACCCTGGTATGTCATTTATTTGGAAGCATCCTCAGATAGTGTAGATTCAACTTTGTTCAAATTGTACCCCCCTTCCCCCACCCCTTCTGCATTATAGGAGTAGGTCGGGACCACTCATCCATGTAAGCTTTTTGATAAAAACTGATTTTCGCTTTTTTTCCTAGCCACAGTGCTCAGGTGATCGTTATGACCCCTGGGCCTCTTGTTTTAGATTTCATTTACAGTAAAATGAGGTTATAGAAAAGTCCTTGGGACCTGTGAATTTATTTCGCTATATCTGTAATTTGTTTTATCTGTATTACAAATTTGTTTATAAAAGCGAATTTGCAATATGCACATTTTCCTTTTACTGTATAGCCAAATTATTGAAAATTATTGATTTTATTGTATTTACTGGTAATTTATTGAAATTGGTTAAATTTTATAGTTAAAATTCCAAAGGCAGACATTTTCTTTGAAAAATGAAATTGTATTTTTCAGATTGAAGCAGAATACAAGGAGTTCAGCCTCTCAGCAGCCACAATAGCAGACTCTTTTGGAATCACCTTAGCCGGCGCTATTTCTATTCCAACTCATAACCATATATGTTCTCTCAATCTTAAAATGTGAATACCCACAAAAACCAGTATTTACATACATTGTCATGCTGTATGTCTTTTTATTTGCTGTTGAAATCATGAAAATATTGCAAACAAATTATTATGCTTCAAATCTTATGTGGACAAGGTATGGTAACTGCTGAATCTGGCCCCTTATTTGATATAAAAATCAGATCAGAGTTAAAACTGTGATCATTTGTAGTTAAGAACTTAAATTGATGTTTGTTTTAAAACCAGACATAAATTTGATTTAAAGCACACATAGAGGTCACAAGAGGGTGCAAAAATAGGACGTTTCCCGATTTTCCTCAATTCTGGCAATTTTGTCAAATTTGAGATACTTTTCACTTCGGAAAACATAGAGCACAAGCTTGCCTATCTGAGATTTATACACACAAGATATATCTGATACTAGTATATGAAATATATAAAGTTGGTAGATAGGCAAGCTTGTGTTGTATGTTTACTGAAAGAAGATATGCCATGTGGCAATGCACTTTGAAAAATTTTTTCAAAGTTAAAATTAACTTTGAAAAAATATTCCAAAGTGCATTAAGAATGTACATAAATATTTTTGCCATGGGGACTTTTAACGCACTTTGAGAAAAATATGTATAAAACAGAAATTCTATTCTTAGATTTTACCATCTTCCCAAGTCAAGGGTTTCTGATCCGCTCCGCTCCACATATGAGAACTTAGTAATTGAGAGAAACATTTTATATTAATTTTTTCTTTCTAAAAATGTTTTAATTTATATGTACTCATTTAACCTCATTGGGAACAAGGAGAAGACGACTAGAAGGTCTCTCAGCCCAACTGTTTTTCTTATAGTCCAGGGCTCCCACTGGACCGAAAATATTTTTCGCCACTTTTCGCGACAAAAGGAAAGGCACACTTACATCTGATTTCTCGACAATGCAATGCATTTTATGTCATTCAATTTTTTTTTTTATTATTATTTTATCCAACACAGACATTGTTTTAAAATTGTAATGTTTAAAGCTTTAATTATGGTAGTATCCATTTAGAAAAAAAGGGAAAAAAAATTATGGTGGAATTATACAATTAATTTGATATTGAATATCAGCCAACTCTTCACAGAAAATGTCCTCTTGTTTATAGTTTATTTTTTCGCCTGGGAAGGGAGGGGTGTATACATTGAATAAACAAAGGAGCTAACCAGGAATACACAAATTTTGTACATGGTACATCTAAAAAAATTCATTTTCGCCACTTATGAATATCTTTTCGCCACTTTTGAAAAAAAATTCGCAATTGGCGACAATGGCGAATCACAGCTCGAGCCCTACTTATACGTTGTTCATAGCCGTCGGTAGAAAATTGAAAGTGGACCCCCCATCAAAGGTAATTTCCATTTTCTAATGCTTATGTATCTATGCAAAACATTTGTGTTGCTAAGACCCCTTCCTGGTACCGATGCCTATGCTACACCCAAATATTATGTATTTGCATAACTGGTATGACGAAAACTTTCAATAAATTTTTAGTTTGCATATAAAATGCATGCATACTGGAAAAATTAAGTAGAGTAAAACATTTAAGAGAGAAAGAATTTTCAAAGTATGGAAGAATCAAAATCGCTCACTTTCACATCCTTAAGTGACCTCATCACCAAAGAGTTATCAAACAGGTTCAATTATTCATCATACCTAAGATTTGCAAGAATATTGACCAAGCCATACATATTTTTTCAAAGTGCGTTAATATGGTCATTATTAACACACTTTGAAAAGAAATTTTATTTTTTCAATGTGCATTGATGTTGTCCCAAATTTAACGCACTTTGAAAAATTTTTCAAAGTGCGTAATTTTTCAAAGTGCGTTGTAACAATGCTATTAATTGATTTGATTAAATTTGGAAAAACATGAAAAATTTGGAAATTGACCTATTTTCTGACCTTCCTGTGACCTATGTGTATCCCATAACTTAGAGCCAATACAATTTTTATGGCATGAGTGATCAGTGGTTTTTAATTTATATACTGTTGCATCATTCTAAAAGACACATCAAACAGGGGAAAAAGGATCTTATCCTATTTTGTCAATTATTAAAATATATGAGATTACTAGTCTTCCTATTGTAGCAGATATTTGATGTTTATTTGTTTTTTTTTTTATTTCCAGGCATTGTTAACTTGAACCTTCCTTTGAAAGGGAGGCACTTTACTTTAATCATGTTATTAGTTTTATGTCTGTTCATCATGTTCATAGCACTTTTGTTCTAATTTGCTTACTTAAAATTGTTTCAATTTTACACTTTCAGGCTCTGTATAGAAATACAAAATTAATTTTCTAATATGTTTGTTTAATGTACCTCCATTTGTCTGTCTATGAACAGTTTTTAATTGTGACACTGTTATTCAGTTCCCTGAGCTTGTTACCTTTTCAATTTATTTCACTTAGAGTTTGGTTGTTAAGATTACCATTAAGGCAGGATTCTTCTCTGGTTTCTGACTGGATGAAATATTCAAAATATATTTGCTTACATGTCATATATTTAGGTGTAAGAGATTTAAAAGACCGTATTTTTCTTTCCTCAACACAATTGTACGGGTGTTGCTAAAACGCGGAACGGAAAACGGAACGGAATGCGGAACGGAACGGAAAACGGAAAATTTTTGTCAAACAAATAAAATAGATTAGATATAAATCACATAAAAGAGCAATATTCTTGTTGTAAAAATCATTTCTGATAAAAATTAATTGTAAACTATTATAAATTCATGAGTCATACACACCCTCCGTGGAAAAAATGGTACTGAAAGAAATTGGACCCCCCCCCCCCCCCCCAACACACACACACGAAATAGGATTTTCGTGTTTGGGCAAAGGACATATGCCCCTTATTTTGGCTTGTCAAATTTGTTGTATGTTGGAATTTTTTTACTGACCCCCCCCCCCCCCTCTTTCAATTTGTTTCCAGTGTCAATGTCTGTAGAAAGTACTTATGATATTCAGATTATACACGCAGTGTCGAATTCGCGAATCATGAAAGGGGGGTGGCAGTTTCGGGTCTGTGTAGTACACAGCAACATTAACTAGGGCTAATTGTAACGGGAACCGTTACAGATGTTCCCCAAACGCTCCCCAACTCCCTTTTGGTGCCTTACTCCCTGTAAGCTTCATTAAATAAGACGAACTCTATGCCTTTTAGACTATAACAATGTTTCCCAAAAGTATATTCAGTATATTCAAATTTATGCATTGCACGCATGCGCATTTGAATGCATGTGCGTAATGACCTTATCATCTTGTCTACACTATTTATATACTAGAAATTACAGCGTTTTATCCAAAAGTATTAAAAAATACGTTTTAATCTAGTGTATTTGTAATTTTACTCATTTCACGTGCACGCACGTGCGTGCATGTGCATGTCGACCATATTTTCTTGTAGGAGTCTGTTATGTTTGTCTATGTTCTAAATCCCATCCTGTTTGGTTGAAATACGAGGAAGTTATTGCCATTTTAAGTTTAAGCCAATCAGATTGCAGCGCACGTGTATGCGCATGTTTTCATGACAACTGTTATGTATCATATTGTAGGACATCCTAATGCATGATTATGTTTAAAATTTTAAAGCATTTCGTCAAAAATTAAAAAAAGATATTGCGATTTTTGTTTCAGCGAATCACAGCAAAGCACACGTGCATGCACGTGCATGCCTGTGCATGACGACCGTACCTCCTTGTGTGAGTCCATTATGTTTGTCTATGTTCTAAATCCCATACTGTTTCGTTGAAAAACAAGGGAGTTATAGCCATTTAAAGTTTAAGCCAATCAGATTGCAGCGCACGTGCATGCGCGTGTTTACATGACAATTGTTATATATCATATTGTAGTACATCCTAAAGTATGCCTATATTTTAAATTTCATAGCATTTTGTCAAAAAACAGAAAAGATATTGAAATTTCTGTTTCAGCCAATCAGAGCGAAGCGCACGTGCATGCGCGTGAGTTCGTGCTAATTTGACAGTGTCACATTATCTACACTATGAATATATCCTTATTAAATGAGTTTTAAAATATTTCATCAAAAAATGTTAAAGTTATGGCTATATAAAGTATATCCGTCATTTCACTCATTTCACGCGCCCGCACGTGCATGCGTATGCGCGCAAAATAACCTTCGTGTTGCACACCTACACTACACACCTATTAACCCTAAAAAGGTTTTAGCTCAGTTGGGTGAACAGTTTCTGAGAACACTCGCGGACAAAAAAAGTACCGGAGAACAAAGAAGAAAAAAAAGAATAATAATAACTAGTGCTAATTGTAACGGGGACCGTTACAGATGTTCCCCAAACGCTCCCACACTCCCTTTTGGTGCCATATTCCCTGTAAGCCTTATTAAATAAGAGAGCATCTGTGCATTTTTGACTTTAACAACTATTTCCCAATAGGATACAAATTATATTCAAATTTTAACATTGAACGCGTGCCCATGTGAATGCACGTGCATAATGATCATATAATCTTGTCTACACTTTCTATATATTAAAATATACTTTATATTTTAGCATTTCGTCCAAAAGTATCAAAAATCACTCCTTCAAGCGTATTTTCAATTTCATCCGTTTCAAAATGCACGCTCGTGCGTGCACGTGCATGATGGCCATACCTTCTTTTAGGAGTCCCTTATATCTATCTATGTTCTAAATCTCATCCTGTTTGGTTGAAAAACAAGGGAGTTATAGCCATTTCAAGTTTCAGCCAATCAGATTGCAGCACACGTGCATGCGCATGATTTCATGAATTTTTTCTATATCATATTGTAGGATATCCTAATGCATGTCTATGATTTAAATTTCAAAGCATTTCGTCAAAAAACAAGGGAGATATAGCCATTTAAAGTTTCAGCCAATCAGATTGCAGCACGCGCGCATGCGCATGCTTTCATGAAAATTTTTATTTATCAGGCTGTAGATCTTCATAATGTAGGACTATGTTCAAATTTTCAAAGGATTATGACCAAAAACAAGAAAGATATTGAGACTTTAGTTTCAGCCAATCAGAGCGAAGCGCACGTGCATGTGCATGAGATCTTGCTATTTTGACCATGTCATCTTGTCTATACTACTAATGTATCCTTACATTATGAGTTTCAAAAAATTCATCAAGAAATAGAAATGTTATGGCATCATCAATAAAATTGGTTATTTCACATGTTGCATGTGCGCGCTCTTTCCAGCACATGTGCATGTACGTGCTTTCATGAAAATTCTTATATATTAGGCTGTAGACCTTTATAATGTGTGACTAAGTTCAAAATTTCAAAGGATTATGACTTAAAACAAGAAAGATATTGAGACTTTAGTTTCAGCCAATCAGAGCGAAGAGCACGTGCATGCGCGTGAGATCTTGCTATTTTGACCATGTCATCTTGTCTATACTACTAATATATCCTTACATTATGAGTTTTAAGAATTTTCATCAAAAAATAGAAAAGTTACGGCAATATCCATTATATTGGTCATTTCACGTGTTGCACGTGCGCGCTCTTGCAAGCACGTGCGCGCAAAATGACCTTCGTTTGGCAACTCTACATAACATGCCTACTGACCCTAAAAAGGTTTCACCTAAGTCAGATGTGTTGTTTACAAGATCACTCGTGGACAAAATTTTCCCAGGAAGAAGAAAAATAATAATAATAATAACTAGATACGATCTCGTTGCGAGCAACGAGTGGGTCTTCCGTCCGATTCTTGATAAGATGAGATAAAATTTTGATTGAGATTTTCATTCTAAAATAATGATTTTCCATAATCTGAAAAAAGACATTGAACATTAAAGACTTTTAAAAAATCGACTTTTGGCCCCTCACAGCCCCAAACATTAGAAATCAGCCCATTTTTCTTCATATCATCTGAAAGCTCTCATGATTTTGATGACTTTTTATTCAACAACTATTCAAAGATTCTTTTTCGTTTTTGAGTTATTTGCATAAGAAATATTTAGTGGCCAGCCCTTCAACTCCTTAATGGGGACGTTTGGCGAACGATAAAAGGTTGCATATTGTTTAGAACATGATTTTGAACATCTTTTGTTCAAAATTACTTGTCAAAATATTTCTCACTTTCGAGATATAAAGCATCAAAGATTTAGCATTCTGCCCCCCCCCCTTTTGGCCCCTTATCATGTAATATACAATATTAAAATCATAATATACAGTTGTAGATTGTTGAGATAAACATTTTTGCTTCAGTAATGTATAACAAAATATTGACTGTTAAAGAGTTATCGAAAAAAGACTTTTAGCCCCTTTTGGCCCCTAATTTGAGTGCCTAGCCCCTTTTTCTTGATTTCATCTTGAAGCTCTTAGGATTTTGAACACTTTTTGTTTAACAACTATTCAGAGATTTTTTTTCTTTTTCGAGTTATTTGCAAAAGAAACATTTAGGGGCCAACCCTTCAACTCCCTAATGGGAATGTTTAGCGAAAAATGAAAGGTTGCATTTTGTTCAGAACATGATTTTGAACATCTTTTGTTCAATATTACTTGTCAAAATATTTCTCACTTTCGAGATATAAAGCATCAAAGATTTAGCATTCTGGCCCCTTTTGGCCCCTAATCATGTAATATACGATATTAAAATCATAATATACAGTTGTAGATTGTTGAGATAAACATTTTTGCTTCAGTAATGTATAACAAAATATTGACTGTTAAAGAGTTATCGAAAAAAGACTTTTAGCCCCTTTTGGCCCCTAATTTGAGTGCCCAGCCCCTTTTTCTTGATTTCATCTTGAAGCTCTTAGGATTTTGAACACTTTTTGTTCAACAACTATTCAGAGATTTATTTTCGTTTTCGAGTTATTTGCAAAAGAAATAATTAGGGGCCAACCCTTTCCCTAATGGGGACGTTAAGCGAAAAATGAAAGGTTGCATTTTGTTCAGAACATGATTTTGAACATCTTTTGTTCAATATTACTTGTCAAAATATTTCTCACTTTCGAGATATAAAGCATCAAAAATTTAGCATTCTGGCCCCTTTTGGCCCCTAATCATGTAATATACGATATTAAAATCATAATATACAGTTGAAGATTGTTAAGATAAACATTTTTGCTTCAGTAATGTATAACAAAATATTGACTGTTAAAGAGTTATCGAAAAAAAACTTTTAGCCCCTTTTGGCCCCTAATTTGAGTGCCCAGCCCCTTTTTATTGATTTCATCTTGAAGCTCTTAGGATTTTGAACACTTTTTGTTCAACAACTATTCAGAGATTCATTTTCGTTTTCGAGTTATTTGCAAAAGAAATATTTAGGGGCCAACCCTTCAACTCCCTAATGGGGACGTTTAGCGAAAAATGAAAGGTTGCATATTGTTCAGAACATGATTTTGAACATCTTTTGTTCAACATTACTTGTCAAAATATTTCTCACTTTCGAGATATAAAGCATCAAAGATTTAGCATTCTGGCCCCTTTTAGGCCCCTAATCATGTAATATACGATATTAAAATCATAATATACAGTTGTAGATTGTTGAGATAAACATTTTTGCTTCAGTAATGTATAACAAAATATTGACTATTAAAGAG